TATATATATATGAAAATTATTTGTTTGTCCAAAACACTATCGTAGGCTTTTAAGGAAAAAAAAAACGATTATACCTTGATTTCTTGTAGCTCTTCGTCTGTGAAATTCACGTTGTGGATAATCCGCATCTGTTTCAGAACCGTTGATTTGCCTGATTCGCCTGGGCCCAATAAGAGAACCTGCACTGGCATGACCACGACATCTTTTAGTAGCTTAATAAAGGAGCTTTGTGTCAGGCTTTGTGATGTCTTAGGCCACGCGACAAAAACCAACATTCTATAGAGAGTGACAGTCTTTTCACTGAAATTCGTCTGGGATGGGCCTATTTTTACTCCTATACTGTACGCGCTTTTATCTCTTATCCTTTGTATTGCGCTATACTTTTTCGGCTTATAGGCGGCCCCGAAGTCAAGCTTTTAACAGTTTCGGCTAATAATTCAATCGGCGAGACAGAATAATTCGCTTTTCTGATTAATAAACGGTTTTATGTTTTTTTTTTTTTATCCAAAAACTCATCACAATGATTACCTTGTCAACTGAGATCAAGGTCTTGAAAATGTAACCATAATGTAAAACATTACATCGTATGATTTTATTCATTGGAAGGTGGATATAAGTTTCTAACTAAAGTACTTCTTCGTTTTCCGAAGCGTGACCACGCAAGACTTTATTTTTTTATTATTAATATAAAAAAAAATTATGTTCTTCTTAAATGACGTGCACTTTGGCTTAAAAAATGCGTTTGTTTGAACATTTATCCTTAAAGACGCAATAAAAGTTGAACAAAGCGAAAGTGGCATAAAATGCTTCTTTGTGAGGTTGTGACAATATATAGCCCATATATATATGACAGCGGATATCGCAGTACTATGTAGTATTCATAATAAATTTATCACGAATTGGAATGGAAAGTGTAAACCTTGATTTCGCTTTCGATTTGCTTGCGGTCCTTTTTGAGCATCTGGTCAATTCGCTGTGAGTGTTGCTTCTGATGCTTTCGGAGCCGCCGTCTTTCTTCACGCGTTTCATTTTCGGATCGAAGGTGACTCGGGAAGACAGGGTCATCAACGGCTTCATCTGTCTCAAATATTTATGATTAATATTATTACTACCAATTTGATTTATGTATGTCCTAATATATTTTTAATAATAATCCAAAGCGATTACAAGGCATCGTTTAAAGGATAAGATGCCGAATAAATTTTTTAGCATATTGCTAAGTGTTGTAGTAACTAATTATAAAGTATCTGGCCAACATACAACCAAAGTGAGAACTTGGGATCATATAGTTTAACCAATTGAGTCGTAGTAAATTTTCAACAGCTCAGATGCTCGTGGGCCGATGGATACACAAAACACTTTCCTTTAAAAAGAAACTAGCTAATTAACGCGAAAACAATGCAGTACTTCAGTATTTACATCTGTTAGGCAGTTCATCCGACGGCTGGCTCCGAATACTAAGCGAAATGTATCTACGTCCATGTTCGACCCTAGACAGTTACGTATGCTATCACTAACAGATGCGCATGCTACCCGCTAAGATATTACAGGGACATATCAATACAGACTATCAGACCTTAACAGCTCCTAGTGATTTTTCTAGTCTGTCTAGCCTTTAAAAGACTGTACATGCTCGCTTTCTAAGCGGCCATTAGGACAAATGGTACCCTCAGTGGAAATCACACAAGCTCTCACGTTGTGTGTCTTTGCAGGAATTGCGCCTCAGAACATAACTAACCACAAAAATGGAACAGAGCCGAATCCATGAAATGTCATTCTTAGCGGAGACAACGCCGAAGGATGAGGACATCTCCAACCTATGTACACCATTTCTCTTAGTATTTTTAGAATTAGAAGAAGAAGAAGGTTTAGAAGATTGGCCCTGTACTTTAGCACACGTTTTGGCTAAAGGCGTTCATTTACATGAATTACAAACAAATGAATACCTTGTACAGGCGGCTCCTGAGGCGCCTTACGTGGCAGGCACCGCACGTGTTTTCGGAAGAAAGAATCCAATCCAGTTAACAGATTGGCAAGGGCCTGCAACAAATAGAAAGGGTATTTTTATGTTATATTAGTACGCTCGTCAGAAAAATCTACTAGATTATATATATATATATATATATATATATATATATATATATACATATATATATATATATAGATTTAGCAAATCCATCCGAACTAAGAATTTATAAAAAAGTCTATAAGCCAAAAAGAGCTATTCAATTTAGTAGTTATGTCGTGACACTCACGTGGCCCCATAAATATTCTATCATCAGACCATATCCTTCTACTTGTCTTAGGTGAAAAACCCATGATTGTTTTTTGGCCTAAGTGCTAAGACCGTAGTTAAGTGAGTCTTAGAGTAACCTAGACTAAGCAAGCATGGGAAATACATTAAGCTAGAAGGTAGTTCTTTATTGGATTTGGCTAAGATACCGTAGCATACATACATAAAAAGGACCCTTATATGGTGGTGATCAATAAACAAGCCTAAAGACGAGGGTCTAAATTAAGCGATTCAACATGCTGTAGAACTCGTGTGTATCTACGACGCATACGCAGCCAGTGTTGTAAAGTTCTTGGTTATACGATAGCCGAAGCTGTACGTGTTTGAAGAATGTCTCGGAGTGTACTTCTGCGTAGGGAGCCTGTTGACAATGTTTTGGCGTTATAAGGTACGGGTTGCCGTCAGGATAACGTCTTGCTATTAAGGCAGCTGCTGCTAGAGGCAGAATTCGATGGCTAAGATTATAAGATTTGGTGCAGGTTTCAGATACGGGAGAATTGTTAGACATCTACCTATCTACGTGCTCAAAGCTTTCAAAATCCTGCCGGAATATGTAGTTTTTCTTTCTACCACTTTAGATGGTGTCTCTATAGAGCATTTTAAAAGCTTCTTGGCTTATGGAGTTGCCTAATCGCGTCAAGGCCTGGCGTCATCACGGTTAGTTTTTGAGATAAGAATGGAATGCCTGAGCATACGAGGATCGCATTAGACAAAAAGGGAACAAAGCACTTAGTCCATCCCCCTTTTCCCCTAACTGTTTCCAAACAGTGAGAGAATGGCGCCGACATTATTACGTTATTATACCCCTTCAACGATCCCCTTGAAACACTAAGAACTTGGGCCCCTGGAGTAAATACTGCTGAGAGTATGTGGCACCAGGATACTGTTAACTGCAAACGTCTTCACACAAGTTGAAATCTGATAAAGTACAATATTAAATCATACCAGTTGATATAGTACAATTTTATTTGTAGTTTTTCTAATACAAGGAAACGTCTACGGGCCTATGTGGCTCATCATCGAGCCGCACGTCAGATACACGTATGCACATTTAGTAATAGTATTAATAATGTATTTCATTGTTTGTCCGTCTTTATTAGGCGCGTATATCGAATGCACTTGCTGATTTACTTCAGTTCACTCTTACCTTTGTCAACATATGGCCACTTCCACAAGTATTATAGTTGTTATGACTTCACAGTAAAATAGCATTATAACTATGGAAGTATGAATTTTGAAGGGTGCAATTATTAATGTCTAAACCCCTCACAATAATAATGTCCGCAAGTTACTGCACAGAATCATTTGCTAACAGGTGATGCTTAATTGAAGCCTCGTGAAAAGATTTGTGATGTGACTAACCTACAGTCTGTGTCGCTGAATCCTACAGTTCCTTTTGTCAATCGATATAAGGGAAAAGTCAATCAATCGACATGTGACACTGATACGTTCCGTGTCGGCATCGGCTATTGGATTGACTGCTGTGGGGCTTTGTTGTCTTGTTTTTACTCGAGATCACCCGCCTGCATACGCATAGGCCAGAGGCTAGAGAGGCAGGGACAGGAAAATTTACGGCGATTGCTAATATTTAGTTGTGTAAGCATATCACTTGGTGCTCAATGATAAGACAGCTCCCCGTACGAATGTATCCTTCGTACGCGTGCACAGTTTTTGTCTATTCCTGTGCTGCAAAAGAAGGCAGCCATTAAAACGGGCCCTAGTTTCTACGCTCAGCGTCTGGAAGCACAGCACCTCCATAGATATTAGGTCCTTAAATACTTTTAGAAGTTTAGTTATCGATCGTCTGCGATTATATCTGCACATAGTCGTATATATATACATATATATATATATATATATATATATATATATATATATATATAACCAGGTCAGATAATTGTAAAACAATTATTACAGGAATGCTATAATAATGAAAAATAGGTTCTAATACAAAGCTTATTGTCATATCTGTTTTTGTGATAATTTTTATTTATAATTTTCAACGCAGATCTTAAAATGACATGATTCAGCATGACGTGGGTGGCCATGTTAGAATTGTTTTAGTTTGTGAGGATGCATTCACTGTATATTATACTTACTTTTAGACATTCTTATTACCAACTACCTATATAATTACTTATCATAATACTAGTAAACGACTACACACAAACAAATATCGAAATACTTCAATTTCATAGCTTGAAACCGAAGACGGACAAAATCGTAATCCAGTTTATTTCACTTTAACTATACATTAATTTCTATTTCTAGTTTTTATATAGTTTTCTAATTATAACGAATTAGAAAACATATATAATATTTTCCGCACGCGTAATTCTTACTAGGTAGCTAGTCAGTGCATACAATTGATGGGTGCAGTTCCATCAGTTGTGGTAATACACAGTTGGCCTTATAGAAAAACTAGATAATTCGAAACACGATATTTTCGAAGAGTTCCGAGTGAGAATCACATCTATAGACCTGTTCCTTTATTTGGCATAAATAACAGCCCGTTGTGATGTCTGTGCTTTTCCTGTAGCTAATCCTATAATAATAATAATCCTATAAGAATAATTGTCAAGAGAAAAGGTTTTTATAATTACCAGGTGGAAAGTAACTTGCATCTCAGTTTTATAGCAATCACGTAAAAAGCGAATGAAAGTCTGTCGTTCAAACTAAGCGTCTTATGGCTTTGAGGAAAGCCTGGCAAGTCCGCGCTGTCTTGATTTTTATTTTCTACTGAAAAAAGTCAGCTGCATTATCGTGCTTCAGCATTTACGGTCAACCTGGCAGACGTAAGATACGATCTTCATCATTCAGATAACGGCTTTTCTTTATCTTCGTATTATCGATTTGCCTATTGTGCCTTCAAATTTGAACTATCCAGCTTCTAGCTGGCCTCTTTCAACCCGGATTCAAAGTGGTCTCGGTAAGTTTGACGGCCAAACTAATCGTATGCTGTCGCAATTTATCTGGTTGAAAGTTGACTGATCTAAGATGATTCACTTCAGCCACTACGCGAATTACGTAGTTGTAAGCGAGCTTTTCAGAAACCGCTATCACCAGACTGATACTTCTGTTTAGCTTCAACCGTTTATTTCTTATTGTCTATGCCTAACTTACTGATCCATGAAAGGTAAGTGCAATCGTTATCAAATACACACGTATATATATATAAAACTTGCGAGTATAAAATCTTGAATTTAACACGAGTGATTAAAAACTTGATAATTGTGTTTAAATTTTTACACAGACTGGCGTAACTCGCTATTTTTTTAGCTGAACTCTTCAGTAATTTCTCCCCTGTACAGCTGGGTATTACTGTCATAGACCTTAACAAATTATTTATTACCTCTCGTATTACCATTGTTCGGGTCAATCAATTTTTTGCTAAATATATTTCATAATTACAATATGCAAGGGTTTGTCTCAAAGAGATATGTTTTATATCACCGACAAGCTGAAAACTCATACAAATGGCAGCAGCCCGAGTCGCCATAGGTGTATAATAATGTATCCATGCATCCATCAAATAGCTTCTTCTCTCTTCTGCTTTTCAGACTCAGCAAATGACTGAGATCTGCTCAAACGAACACATGTACTGCTAATCAGATTCATCGATAAAAGTTCATGCCTTTGTACAAGGTAGCGTAATTTGTCATCAAGTATTGTTAGCCGTAGCCAAAAATCGTGTGTACGATTTAGAAATAACAATTTTTCCCCTCACCGGCTGTCAGCGCGTTCCGTACCTCGACGATGTTGATTATACAAATACGTACCTCCTGATGACATACAACATTTTGAACGGAGAGGTCAAAAGCCCATGGAAGACTGGCTACGTTTCTAAATCAACAAACGCTTTCGAGTATATTGGCAAATCTATCTCCAAAATCAGCGTGCAAACGGAGCAAACTGTCAAGATTTCAGTGACAAAAAGCCGGGCTCACCAGAACGTATTTTCAATGGGAGTTTCTCTATCAGGCGTCCGGATAAAACCGGAGTCGCCGCCTAGATGGCCGTGGTCCTAGCTCAATACTTCTAGACGCCATTCGTCTAAGCTCCCCCAACAAATACGTTCTCGACCAGATATGTAATCAAACGAATAGCCATATCATCAAACACATGTAGCTAAATAAAATAGTTACGTTTAAATATAGGCGCCAACTGAACACGTGGTAGAACACTGCTGGTGAATCGCATATGTAGCTCAAATTGACTTACGTAGAGATTTAATGTGGAACCTAGTGATTGGTATACGGCTCTTTCGGTTACCGTGGACACAAGAAGACGAACGATCGACATTTTCGTTGCTTGTCGCTTAAGCAATTGGTAACCCGCGCGCCATTAACGCTTTGAACGGAAGGCTTCCGCGATCTCGAATGCGCCTCGATAAATAGCTAATATCACTATCTATGATCGTTTCGTGTCATTGAGCGTGCTTCTAGTCAGCAATCATTTTAGTTTGGCCATGTGTTTTAGATGTATAGATTCGTCACTATTCAATCACTATTGAGATATGTGCTAGCGTAATGTTTTTCGTCAAACTATCCTTTTCCTCCCGCAAAAATATTGTGACTTCTAAAAACGCCTGCTAATATCCAAGTTCTGAGTTTTTAGCTATTTAATTAGTCTCTTAGCTCGTCCTGGCAGACGTTCGGTGTATGACAGGTCTCGTCAAAGTCTCATGAGATCTTCGCAAGTAATTAGCTACTAACCACAACGAAGCGTTATAGTAAAAAATGCTTCAGCTGATTTATTTCTGTGTTTTATACTAAGTTTCGGTTACGGAGTATGCGATGGCTCTCTTCGCAATAGAATCTAGTGAGTGCGTATAGACAATGAAAATCTGCCGTGGGGCTATAGTGCAAATACATAGATTGATAGTCTTTACATTTAGGTGATGTCCTTTATTGGTCTATCGAATTGTGCTGTCGGATCGGATCGTGATGATACTTGTGACGATCGCTGCAATCGACTGACGGTGGTAATAATGGTAGTCATAATGAAAACGGTGATCTGTACATGATCATGTTTGCCATTCTTTTTTTCGTCGAGAATTAAAAAGCGGTTGAGAACGCTATATCTTCGTCGCTCTTTCCGATGCCCAAGAGCCAACCAGTACTCCAATACTTCGTGAGCCAATTGGCCAAACGCGTTCCTTCTATGCAGCAGGAAACGCTCGTGCATCTACTACGTTTGCAGAAGTAATCAATTTTTAATCGAACCGTCCTCTGTGTCTACTGACTGGCTAGTAATTGTAGATGATTTTTTTCTTCTTGCCAATTCTATTTGTTGACTATCAAAAGGCAGGCTCTACCTAAAGATGGTCCTTAGTTAGTGTTTTTTTGCAGAAAAAACGCCCAAGACGTATGGCATAGAACGTACCGTCAAATACAGAGCAGAGTTATTCAAATTAATGGGAACAATAAAAAAGAAATACGATAATTTATAATGCCAAATGTATAGGATTAGAATAGCGGGTTCGGTAGGGTTATACTTAGGAAAAAGCACAAACAAAAGTATAGGCGGCATTTTCCAGAAACGCAGTCCTAGTTGGTTGCGGTTTGACAAAAAAAATGAACACAAGTCCTGAAGTTAGCGCTGCTTTCCTAAAGATCATTCGTCGCGTGCCGCTTTGCACTGCGAATCGCTCCATTAGGTACTGAATACACTGGCAGAGAAATTGAAAATATTGCGCAACAAAAATTTGCAAGCAGCATATTTGTTGCTTAGAAAAACCCTGAGAAATTCTCGCAAAAAACCTGTTTTGTTATCGCTTCAAGAAACAATTAGACATTTTTATCAGGTAAAAAGACCAAACGCAATTAAAATGTCTTATCTACAAGAAGGATCGCTGAAAATATTTTGCAAAGAATGAAAAAGTCCTTGTAACTACCATACTTCAACTGGAATTCCAGTGAAGTGAAGTCTTACTTGAGCTATTTCACTGAAACACCTCAAGTAAGAGTCAGATATGCAATACGAGTTTTTTAATGAGGTATTTATATACGTAAAGAGAGCGTCAACGAGCATCGCTCGAAGGTTTCCGTGTATTGGAGATTTCGCAAGGGTATGAAATCTCCTCTTAGTGATATCCCGATAAACATTCAAGTATAGCGTCTTGTTAGCGGAATCGCGGAATGCAGTAACTGCGTTGGGGGTAACTGGACGCTAATTGCCTCCCAGTAAACGCTACATTAGGTGTTTAACATCGACTCTCGTCTGCATTCACCGATATGAGTGGGCCATCATCGTAGTAGCTGGCGCTTTCGCAGACAGTCTAGCCTATTAAGGGTACATCGTGCGATGTCATACGGTTCCCTATCGGTGTTGACTCGATAATCTAATCATCTGTCTCTCTGATCGAGTCTGTCAAGTGGAGGTTCTTGTTCACTGTACACGTAGAGATCGTGTCCTGGACTAAAGTGAACCTGACTTGTTTGAGACAGCGTATTGTTGTACGCTCGTGCTTGTTGCTGCCGCGGCTGCATGTCAAAATCGGATAGACGTTGCTGTGCCGGTGGACGCCCGCCGATGTTGCGATGATTAGATTGAAGCGTACCATATAGAGACGGACCGCCAGCATCCCCTTGCTGCGGATACGCCAGTTCACTGCTCTTAGGGTACGCTGAAGCTGACGATAAGCCTGCGTTCAGATGAGTCTTCGAGGCAGAGAACTTTGAGTGAGTGTGAGGGACATATACCAATCGCTCTCTGTTGCCGTTACCACTTCGGACGCATGAAGTCGAAACGGATCGACGAGTGTACGCTGCTACTGAATTGTTGTAGCTAATCGAATGCTGCTGCTGCTGCTGCGGCGACGCATCTCCGCGTAAATCGGATACCGGAAGAGCGGTGCATCTATAGGATATCGGTGGCGTACTTGTGTCACTCTGGCTGAAGTACGTCGAAGGGTTGCTACTGCCTGCATACTTTTGTTGTTGATTATCATACGAATAACGGTCTCCCTCTTTTAGCGGCCTTTGTAGCATTGTTGAAGGCTCCTGAGGATTATGATATCGTCGTTTTTGCACCAAACGTTGATTTCGCTCATAATGTTGCTTTCTAACCCATAGATTCTCGTGGCAATAAGGATCGTCTATATCGTAAAGGTACTGGTAGGCCTGGAGGTCCGGATCAAACGGCACGCTGCGGTCTTCGCGTCCTGTAATCATAATCAGGATACGTTCAGTCAGGCACAAGAATAGATTCAAGACAGGGGTGTAATTCCGTGCCATTTCTCGGCATTTGACTGCGTCTGTCTAAATATACGGCGACGACGGCGGCGGCGTCGATTCAGATGTAATGAGGGAGAGATTTACATAGGTAAATAAAAAGGAGTTACCTCAGCCCATGGCAAACATGAGTGGCCGGTGTCAGTCTGATTGCTGAGCTAGGGCTTCCTCGCCCTCGGTGAATAAAGACCGCACCTCAAGTACAGTAGCTAATTCATATACAGCACGCTTAAGGGCTGGATGGTCTAATACTTCGGTTTCGGGCATTGGAGGAAACGACCTGCAGAAAGCATTCCTGAATAAGTTTATATATATATATATATATATATATTCACAGTTATTTTAAATTATTATTATTATATGAGTTCGTGAGTTAAATAAGTGATTAATATCGACTGTTGTGTGTTGACGAACTACCGAATACACTTCTGAGCCAAGGTCTCATTGAAACGAAAACCCTATATATTATACCCACTTAAAATGCAATGCGTACCTGGGGGCGTAATTACATCCAGGGATCTTGAATAAGCGGTGAAGTTTGATAACAACATGTGCGAAGATGAAGCGCAACATTAGGAGCCGCAGAAAATCATCGCCGTATAATGCGAGATATGCCTGATCAATAGATCTAAACAGAGAATAAGCAGCTTCGTTAAATTGCTCTAGCTAAGAGGCAACGATATCTCTTTGTTATTTACGTGCATAGTACTTACTATAGGATAAAATTTGTTATCGGTGGAAACGAATACCCAAAAATTAAAAAACTTGCATGTATTGACGGGATTATTAGAATAATTCCGTACCACGTTGACTTTCATGCTGAAAGTCAATGGATTCAAAAGTATTCCACAATGGCAAAGCCATTTTTGTTAATATCTATAGAAGCTCAAAAATTAAGTAATTTAAAACTACTTGATTTTTGAGCTTTTTGCTGATAATAATGTTTACGATTCCCAACTTTCAGCGAGGTAGTTTTTTTTTAGGCTGAAAAATATTTAGAGAAAGTTAAAGTTTTTGAGAAACCTGACGTTAATCTATTTCTCTTTATTTAACTTTACTGTTTGTTTTATACACCTTTATTCTTTAAATGTACATGGATGGTCATCTTAATGCAATCTGCTCATACAAATAATTTTGGAACGGAATATGGCATTAGGCGTACTCCTTCAAAAACTACAAAGTCCAAAAATTCAATTTATAATTGCTCTATTTGAATAAAATATCTCTACTCAGTGTGATAGATAGATAATTTCAGCCCCCTTCTACATGCAAAATACTCGCGTTCCATCCAAAGGTGTTTGTTCCTTTATACAAATTACAAATCAGGATGTTTTTGTCGTTTTCAATAGACCAACATGTCATCACCAACGTTTATAATATTCCGACTTAAAACTTCCGAAAAACCAAGTGGTGTTTACTACCTATGCTTCTGTTATACTTGAGGATATGAGGAAAGTGTTTTATCTTAGAGATTTAACATTATAGTTAAATCACTAACGTTAAACTTCTGTTAGTCGTCCATGAAAGCATTGTTAATGATCAAATCTGTCTCTCTGCTCTTCGGTAACACACTTGAAAACGGTAGACGACGCCACAGGGTAAACAGAGCGAAAGTGTATAATCTTTAAAAAACAAAACTACACGCATTATTTTGAACAGTTTCCCTACCGAGTGTTTGACTTACTTTGAGAGGCCCCAGTAACGCCTCTCTGATAATATCACCCTGTTATATCTGTACTAGCTTAATAACAACTCAATATTTTTTACCGTTTGCAACTTGGCATGTTCTGGCACAAAATTGGAGACAATGAACTACTTCGGTGTGATCGTCTTCTACAAGAGTCCCTAGATTTAATCATGGAGATTATTATGATTATTATACAAATTTTCCCCATAAGTTCGCGTGCCGTTTGATGCTCGGTAGACAATCAAGTGACTACCAGCATGACAAAATATTGGTTCTGTGCTTTTATTATGTACCTTGATCTAATGAGCACTCTGGACGCCTCCGCCGTGAATCGACTCACGTGGGCTTGCCCACGCTCCCATAGCGACAGCGGGATGTCGGCAACATGGCAGACAAAGCAGAACGCCGCCAAGGGACAGTGCAGGAACAACGTGAACAGGCTTCCTTTGTGATGCTGATCGTGAAAAACCGGCGGCGTCTCTTCCGGAGACATGAGCACAATCAACGGCTGGCCAAATAGACGCACCGCCATGTTCTCGAACGCGTACGAGTTGTCCGAATCTACTACGACGAAAAGTGGCTGAGAATATATATACGAGAGCAAGAGACCAACGTATGGAGCCATGTTTTATGTTATTACAAAATAAACCCTTCAAGGATTGTCGTTACGTGTAGTTAAAAGCAATTGGTAAAAGCGAATGGACTCTAATCCGATAGAGGCAGAACTGAAATCTTCTTTTGATGTAACATATTTCGAACGCATAGTTCAATAGATGTGTTTTTCATTCATAGTTGCGTATAGTGCATAGTGTTGCGTATCAGTCGTTCAGTAATGAACTTCCTAATATCGCATACTGCTGTAATTTCGTAATGCGCAAGCAGCTAGTATAAAGTAAAAATAACCTTAAAAGATTTGATGTCGGAACAATGATATGAACCACACGCTGACTTGGTCACCACTAATTACCAATGTCACGCTGTACCTGTATGTGTGGGACAACTTCAATAGCATCTGTAAAAGCGTTGTATTTTTAGCGGGCTTTTTCAAAACCGCTATTCTTAGCTTCAGGAATTGAACAATGATATAGGGAGCTGTACATTAGTTTTTAGCCGTACGTGAAAATAAATTGGGCTGCTTTCATACGTGGGTCTATAGATGATAACTATGTACCTTGCGAGTGAACGGGAAGAGATCCCCGGGATAGAGGCAGTGCTGTTCTCGAAGTACTATTGCCCCTGCAGCTCGTTTCGTTCCGCCGATGGGCGGCAGCGGGCCAGCGCCGAGAGGCGCCGAGAGTTCGCCCATGATGGCGTCGCGTTTATTGTTAGTTGCCGCTCCGCCGTGCTCATAACCGTTTGGTAATGTGTCTGGTACACGGCCCCGAATACGCATTTCGTTACGCATGAGTTCATCACATTCTTCTTCAGCGTGTTTTAACCCACCAACAACACCGCCCATAGTCCCAACCATAGTGGCCGTCCCAGTTCCTCCCATGGGGCCCATAGCAGCGCTCGGCGTAATCGAAGTTTGTTGTAGTGGGAAACACCCATCAGCCGAAATATATAGCAACATGACCCCATTTGACGGCAGCTCACGAAATCCCGATGCAAGAAATACGAGCAGTTGGGGAAGAGACGGTCGATAGAGAAGATATTTGTGCGGGTTGTCTCTGCGCATACTTGCCGACGACACAGACATTGAGCTGCTGGCAGCAGCCGAGTGAAATCGGGGGTCATCATTTTCAGGGAAGCCTCCAGAAGCCACTGCCCGTTGAGCGCCTGGTGATGCGTCGTAGAGTTCACTTGTCATCACTGTAGACCCACCGCTTGCTGTGGCTGCCGTCTCTCCAGCGATACTGCTTGGCTCCCTTTCGAGTGTCTGAAGCATCCGGAACATGTCGAGAGTGAGTTCCGAAAACTTCACCTATGAAACCAGTTAGTACAAGTCAGCATAATTCTACTATTTTAGCAAAGCCTAATAAGCACGATATGATTTATTTGCTGTGAATAACGGCCTCGAAGAATGGTCCATCCAATTTAACACAGCCATTATATTCGCGAGGCTTACTAATAGCTTCTTTGGCACTAGTTAGACTGGGCCGTTGAGGAACAGATAGTATTCACGAGCTAGTTTCGGCTAGCAATATATTGAGTATTTCTCTGTACTATAAAGTCAACAATACAGTGGTAAGACACCCTGCCCCGAATCTAATTCCTCGCCAGTGTTAGTTGCCGTACTCACTTGTCTACGTCTAAGTATCAACCCTATCAACTCTAATAATTAACACTGTAGTAATTAGCAAGGTTTATAGAAATCAACAGAGATGCCGCACTCAGAGAGATTTAGGTGCACCCGTTGGCTTTGGAGCCCACCGTCATTGATTCCTTTGCCCAAATGAATTCATCTGCATAACTGGACTATGGTTGACACACGTTAGGTATATAAAACTCGAAAACTATATTATAAAAAGTTATATTGGAAAAAAAAACTAATGGTCAGTAACTCATTCAAAGAGCTTCTATAAGCCTCAGCGTATCAGAAGAATCATCATACTCGTCTGAAGGCTAAAAATGAACGTTTTTTTCGCATGTAGAATTCGCAGTGTTGAAACAACAATCATATGACGCAAAATGATAACTATATAGTTGTAATCTTTGAGGAGATCCTATAAATCTCGCTGCTTGTGCCCATTCAGACCGCCTCAAAAAGCCAGATAAAGCTTTAATTGACTGTCCCTTTATCACTGTTGTCTTCGATGTCACTAGTGGGAAAGCTCTTCCTTGTAACTTTATAACGAGGCAGTGTAAAGTCTTTGATTAGTTACAAAAAGCTTTCCGTAATTCTCTCTTTCACATCACGTTGTACAAAAGCCAGAAAAGCTTATCTTCTTAATTATTTACTTCAGTCTATTGCCACTTCAAATCAACGATGAAGACAATTGTTACGTAGTTAGCCTAAAGAACGTACACTGAGGGTCAGAGCAAATCGAGATGTGAATCCTTTTAGAGACAAGTTGCCTTCAATGGTTCAAGCGTCCATTCAGTTAGCTGTATTCATATTTGACCTAAACGACATGTTGCCATGGGGTACTATCTACGAATTGTATTGTGATGCCTTGAAACCGCGTAGTCTCCGCGATAGTCTTCGATGGAAACTTCCACTAAGTGGCGCAATGAGAAAACATGGTAATAAATACTGTTCGATAACTTTTTTCCGTGTGGTCAATGACGCTAGTCTTAGATCACACGTAGAGTTTATTCTACTCGTTTAGTTCTACTCTTTGATATTGCGCTCATATTTAATAAGAACTTGCCGGGCACGCAATAAGGTTTGCTTCGCAGGACTAGCCTCAGCCGCTCCAGAGCCGACAACGATACCATAACGGTTAAAGCTAATTGTCATGATTACTACGTCACGAAACGTCTCGTAACGTTTTGCACGAAGTCGAATTATACTGCTAATAGCTAATGTTCTGTGAATATAATTTTGTACGTAGCCGACAAACGATAGATTCAAAATTGACCTGGTTCGTACCAAGCGAATCAATAGTGTTATCTGTATATTATGCTCGAGTAAAGGTTAGCTTGTATGCTCCTGCGTGCACGTTCGAGTAGCCATTATCCATATTGCAAAATGACACCCGCATGACTTTTGTCTGCGTTGCGCACGTAAAAGCATGCTCACTATACTGTAACGGTCCACGACATTTGCAGCGTACGTTCCTTTGGCTCATCCCGTATAGAGTTGATTACCTGTGGAGGCGCTACGAGCTGATCACAACAGCTGCCGACTATGATGACCTCTTGCAGAGACAGTAGAGGCCCAAGGAGCGACGGAGATTTCTCTACCGGAGGGGCGTTCGCCGGCGAAAGCCGATGCGACACAACAACTGGAACCGAATCCTGTCAACAATAAAGAGAAAAAATACTACCGCCTGTTTTTATAATGCGCGATAAAACAAACGTTGTATATGTTATTAAGCTTACATACATACGAAAATAGAAGCGATTAGACTCTATTTCGAACGAATTAAGTGTCTACTGAGACAGATAGCGAAGGGTTTTGTAGGTAGGTAAAATAGAGTTGGTCGAACTGCCTGAATTCATCTCTTGGAATTATTGTCGGACGGCATGACTGTTGGTGCTTGGTGTGTTTTTCTAATTGAATACTTGTTAAGAGTAAATAAAAATACGCTTTCTAAAATCGAAGAAACCTTCCCGGCTAGCTCTGGCAAACCGATGAGTATCAATTTGTTGCTGGCAAGTGTTTTATGCATGATAGAATAATTCTATAAATTGGGAACATCGAACGTACGCCTTATGTTCAATGACGCTATAAACACATTGCTCTTGTCGTGCTACTGCCAACGCATAAGGAAATAGTTCTCAATAAATATTTCGCTTGCACACACAAAAGCGTTCTGTGAAAAATGACGCAGCACTTCTAGCCACGCGCGGCTGGAGCAAAGATCGTTGACGGGAGATTGCGGTACGGGAAAAATTATAGGCATCTTTCGTAGCAAAGGGGCAGAAATCGCTACGACTTAGAGGTCGTTAGATAACAAACTTTACAGTTCAGATGGCATCGCAGCTCAAAGATTGCAAACCTACATAACAGTATCTATTCGCTACCAATGTTATTCAAACGAACTCTAACCAAGCTTACTTCGTAGAAACATAATGTTCAATCAATTAAAAGAAAAAAGACCTTCTATGCGGGAAAAAATGACAGGTGTTTATTATATTGTAGAGGTCAATGGAATTTTTAATCATCCGAAGTGTTTTATCATCATCTGACATTTAGAACTTCGGCTCATTATCATCATAAGCTCCAACGCTACTACCAGGAACTACCTCGACCAAGAGTCAAGCGGCTACCTGCCCTGTACAGCGTTTCTATTCAACGGCAATGACTATTAAATATGATACTGTACCGTGATTGAATTTACCTGATCGATTATGTTAACAAGATTATCCGCATCAATAAACGAACGAATTTCCCCAAGAACAAGGCTCCATTCCAATTGATCTTCGGGCTCATACGCGGACGTGTAATCGTCGATGAGCGACGCCAACTCACGGACGAGCTCTCTGATGGTACAGACACAGCAGCAGAATACGCAACATACGAACACATGGCAAGCAATACATCTGTGCTCTGGTTCGGATTATAGTTAGCATGATCTGTAAACGATCACCGTTAGTATCTTGATAAAACCACTAATTATTCTAAAGTTACTCGAATAATTACCTGACAATTTTCATTTTCTTTAGTAGGAGGCAAACGACGATGAACCGGGCATAGTAACGCAATTTTTTCACCATGAGATCCGACCGGTGTGAGTATGTGAGGCCCTGATCTTCTTTTACCTAAAAAATATTGGCTCGTGGTTGATTACATTGGAGCTCCGTCCTCGTAATTATTCAAGGGTTACGCACGAACCTTAAGGACCTTTCTGAAACGCAGCTTCGATGTTAAAAATGTAACGACAGTTCGGCTCGTATTTGGGTCCCGCCGTTTCGAAGAACACTCAAAGACAACGTCTGACGTGGAAGGAATAATTTATAAAAGATAGAGAATTATTCTGGTACGGCTTGAAGAAATGTCGCCTTACAGGTTAGCCACTCAGTGTTCAATAGGAAATTACGTTTTAGGTGTTCGTCGCAAATATAACCAGCAAGCATTATCGCGGCATTCGAGTATCCTCTACTGTTAAACACGCATGTTTTTTACCGCATGATATTATGATATACAGTCACATTTTCTATTCATATAAATAAGATAATTACTCAACAGTCGTATCGATAGTCTACTGTGAAGCAACAAAACGTACGACAAGCCAGAAATATTTACCATTTTGGAATAGTAGCCACGGGCCCGTATAGCGGCGTAGAATGAAAATGCCTCACTCAAATAGTTTGTATCACTAGTACGCAGGTAATAGTGATAATACAACTGGCCAATCTTTGATGCGATTTCACCGATCTGCCAACGCTGAAGCAAGAAGGACATAATATTAGGATTAAACCCATAAACATTACTTAAAGAAATAGATGTTCATACAAATGAGATATATTCACCATGTATTCTAATAAAGCTATTTGTTGCATATCTCCAACAAGCTGAAATTTTAGTCAACCGCAATCGTTTTATGCAAATATTTACTTTTTCTTATGAAATACTTAGAATACTAGTATAAACCCTATTAGTACCCGTTAGCCAGCTAGGTACGTCTGAGGTGAGACAGCCTTCTGCGCACATCAGACTACCTACTGGAATAACGACGACCAGGGCCTTGAACACTACTGGACATGTCAGATGGTCCATTTTTTTTGGACGGTGCAGACCTAATGTAATGATACCTATTTCAGCAAGCTTTACCTTTAGGCCATATTTTATATCGAGAAGCTGCCGGTGCTGTTGTTGGAATTTCCATAGGCGTGTGTACACGTCAAACGTACGGCCAAAGTATGCCTGAGAGAACCGACCCGTCGAACGAATGAAACGATGAGAAATGTTTAAATAAGAGTTTCTCAAATTCACTGCCTATTCATTTCTTAGCAGCATATTTAGATCAAGTGAAGTGTAGACATTGCATTTGTTTACCGAGAGCTGTCGGTGTTCGGTGGTCTTCGCGTACCTACACTGATGACTAATCCAAATAGCTATTCGAATTACGGTGCTTCAGGGACGCATAGTAACGCGATAGATAATTGTCTTTTGCACTGTCTAATCATATCTCGTCGACGAATGCATCTATTCAGTGTTCTAGGGTATATCAAATCGGTGCTTCCAATACTATTGGCGTAGTAACTCACACGTTATGTGTATTGCTAATTTCCACTTGTGCATACTAAACCTACCTGCCACTGTTTGTGCCCGTACTGCGGGAGATCCCGCAAACCGTTGAATAGCTGTTTGCTTTTGTCAAGGAGATGAACAAACTCCGCAACAATCTTGCGTTCCTCGTGTTCCTCAGTGTCAGCCATTTCGGTGACACCCATCACACGCGGAAGCACAGGAAGGAAGGGCGGCTGAACGGCAGGGTAGCCGTTGCTGCCCGCTCGGCACGAGAATGGCCACCAACCGAATCGGTGAGCACGACAGAGTCTCAATCAAACTTGTAATGTTTACACTGATATGGCAGTTAAACTATGGATCATACATATATGTTCGAATCGACATACGTGTATAGTCGCTGTTATAGACGTTACATTAATACTTCTGCTACCTGATTCTATTTGCGTGGGGTGTCACTTTTGGGCGATCGAGCAATAAGTTTCCTATTTATTATTGGGGTATCTTTAGCTGCAATTGTAGACCTGCAACAGCACCTTGTCTCCAAAAAAGCAACGAATCATTATCCAGTTATGTGCGAAACTCGCTGCAGAAAGATCCGTAAAGTTCACGTTTTCTTACGTCATTGTTGTCTAGTTGCAAACACACCTATCACCGACACTATCACCGTAGCAATTATATTGCTTCAATAGGAAGCCTTTGCTCCATTTTGAACATGTCGAAGCGTTAGGATACCCTCGTCGTAGAAAGACCGGCTGGCCGATCGGTTGATGCGCCCTCATTAGCCCCGTAGGTCGTTTAGTGGTCATTGTCCTCCATAATGACACAACAAACGCCACCCGGTTTTTTTCATCTCAAAGCATCTCCTTCAAATAAAATGTCATAGCAATAATAATAGTAACGACACTGGCTCAAATCTTTGATCCAAATGAGCTCGCCAACTTGTCAATTCGAAAGGGTCCGGATACGAGGTTATACCGGGGCCTTAGCGTCAGGCCTCACTGTAGCTCCGACGATTTCAAGGTCAGAAGTGGCAGAAGTGACTATGACCAAATAGTGCCTTTCTAGCCTTGACTAGAACCGTATCGTTGTGCATACCGGCAAAACCGGCTTCCAACAATTCTTCCTCTCTGTGTTTGTCGTGGTTTGTAGCTATGGCAGATTAAATTATTCGCTGAATTTTCTTGGGTGGTTTCACAAGCGAACGTCCAAATCGACGACATAAGCAAAAGTATCTTTGTGTAGCTTTGACTATTTTCAACTCGGCTATCGCGTCAGGATCGATTTGCCAGTACAAACGGTAGCAGTCAACTGAGACAAATAATAAAATTCGATTATTTTTGCACTGATTCTGATTGGCTTCCGTTCGCTCCTTTATCGACTCGAATTTGCAAAACAGACGCCTTCAGATGGCTTCTGGACTTTGTTGTTTAATAGAACTTCTTCGTTCGCATACCTGAGCATCATACGACAGGCACAGAACAGGAGAAAAGCAGACGCGGTTATCAGTAAACTAAACTACAATGCGCCGACTCGTTACGGTGTCTGGCAATAGATTACGTAGTTTTTTTTTATTTATTCGCTGTTAGTCACGACGATTGGTTCGGGTAAAGTCTATCGTGACTACCATTTATTCCTTAAATAGCACAACAAAACTACACATTGTGCGCGCACGGTGACTGCGTGACTAATTGACCGATCGAGCGTGCCTTCTGCTGCTGCTGCTGTTGTTGGCTGCCGAAGCGCAAGACAGGAGAATAGCATACACATAGACCGATCTAAACCGACACCAGGATACGCACAAATTCAGAAAACAGCAGGAGTCAGGACACTCAAATCTAACATAAGATAGCTCACTGCTACCGTGTACACACACTACATTACCACAACAAGCAGCAGGAGCAGAATCGGGAAACAGAGGGAGGCGAGTCTGCATGCTGATCCTGATGATTCAGGAGTTGACGCCGATGTGGCTAGGCCTGGGAAGAGGATAAGAATGAGCAACTATGGACAAGTGATAGGGGCCTGCGAAGTCCTGAGTTCGAGTTGCCCGCCACGAATGCGTGGTGTCCGGCACTGAGGATCGGCTTTGTCGAGTTCCTGAAGACATCTGTTATCTAGAGTAAATTTATGTTTTTATATACATTATGCAGCATATATTTTGTAACATCTGCCTAAACGATACGATTAAATACTACCACGGTAGTAATACAACGACAGCAACCGCCTGGCCCAGAATATGCTAGTACACGGTCAATAAATTGCTATGCAGTACGGTAAATACTGTTATAGTAAAACAACTTAATCATTGCGCGCTCTGTCGACTGGTACAAGCGGAACATTCGATTGGCAACCGCATGGCCTGGTAAAATACGGCTTCGTTTATATGCTCGTTACTGTAAGAATCTTTTTTTAGCACATCACATCTGCAGTAGGCCGCCACTAGAAGCCCAGTATAAGGCATACAAATATTTTCAAGCCACAGCAGGTATCCTACATCGTTTGAACCGTTTTCATGCAGATCTAGCATGCATGTCTGGATCAGATTTGAACTAAAGTAAACCGTAAATTTAATTATAAGAATTAACCTTGCCATTATGACGTCTCATGCGTAAACTTCATTTGGGCTCAAAAAAAGAGATTTATTAACACAAAACTTTAGAGAGTTTTTTTCAGTAAGGGAGTTTAAGCAAATAAAGAACACGATGAGTTCTTCGTTTAAGCGTCCGAATCAAATAGGGGATAACAGGGAGAAAATGATCGTTTGCTGTATTCAAGAATCGCAGACGAATGTTGTATTGCATTTCATCGACTGCTACTGGGATACTAGCTTGAATATATCCGCTCAATTCATCACGTGTTCTAAGCTCTCATGTTAAGAAAATGCATAAAACGACATGTAAAGGATTTCCTTTAAAGGTGTCTTCAAGCCCTATTCCGTAAGGTCTCTAATTAAGGTTGCTACGATCACATCTTTTAGATAATTGCAGGCATAGTGATCCGAAAAATGCCTTAATGAACTTTGGAGCACTAAACACATGTACAGATTTAACATACTGTTATTTTTTCTGCGTCATAAATAATGTGCAAATTCGTGATCAACGAACTCCAGCTGTTACGCCATCTCTTCATACCGTTGTGGATGCCATAAACAAATTAACTTAAAATCTAAGAGGAAAATATGCAAAAGTCAAAAATAAAACGTGCGCCCCATACCAATTAACTGGGAGCTATTCAAGTTGAGTTTCTTTTTTTAGTATCAAACACAGCCATTCGACCCAGCCCCCGAAGGTCACAGAAGAACGAACGACGACTGATCAGCAGAAGTCTGGAGAAGAGTCCGTACTATAGGTAGCTTTCGATTGAGCTACCCCACTAATTATCATGTGTTCGGTGGCCGATCGATGATAATAACAAAAGAGAAACGGCGGGAAGTTCGACGCAATTTAAATTGTCTTGCAAGTACAGAAACCATCATTACAAACTACATGAATAGACGAATATGGTTGCATACTGATCGTAAAATAAAACACTCCGAATGTCATATTTCTGCAGGACTGTAAATAATAATAATAATAGTAATTATATTATTAACAATAATCAAATCCAGTGAAACAAACTCAAAAATAGTTTCAAGCTGCACATAACGTACTTTAAAATGTAGTTTCCGGCAATGATCTATCAGAATGAGGTGTGCGCAGAGAACACTTGTCCATTTAGTCTAAGGAACTCTGAGGGGCACTTTATGGATCTTGGACCATGTCCCAGACTGTTCGAAGGCATATGCCGTTGTTCATCGAGAAAAAGAGAAATTCGTTCGTAGAAGAAATATTCCTGCACAAAAACAGCCACAAAACAACGAATATGGCCAGTACCTTTTTTCGAACCGAAATTAGCTGCAGTTAATAAGATTGACTGAAGCATAACAGATATATTTATAGTAGCCTATATTTCAAAACTATGCAGAATTAACTATAGAATATCGTAAAAATTCAGCCACTACAGCAAATTTAATGGACAAATTCAGTTAATAGTTAAATTTATAAACGCTTCTACAGACTGGCAGCGTATTACGATGCCAGTCTGTAGAACGATGGTAGTTTTATCCCATGAAAAAGAGAGCGCGTTTCGGTTAATAATTAGAGATGTAGCACAAAAATTTTTCTCTATTTTTAACGTTTGTTCAATTCGTGAATTATTTTTTTAATAAAGACCCTATGTAAACCGATATTGAAGGCTCTAAACTGGTCAAAATGTCGTTCACATTAAGTCTAACGGAACTGAATCTTTTATTGCAACAATCCAGGGGCTCAAAACAGCGGAAAATACAAAAGGCCCAACAAGACGCAGAAATTGAGTCAAAAAAAACATCTAGATGACTCAATTTTGAAATAATACTCTCCTCTACAAAACGGCCATTGATACTTGCACTGAAAATTTAGACGTACCAGACACGGCATCTTGAACCATTCTGACCAATTTTCTAACTGGGGATTTTCCCATTTGCCTAATGAAACTATTTTTCTAATTTTTTTCGCATTTTTTTAACACAGACTGTCGATTTTGGGTAAAAATATTTTTATTTTTTGGGGGAAGCTCGCATAGCCTAAGGAGATGGGAAAAAAGCCGATCTTCGCTCAAAGTGCGAAAGCAACATTATACTCCCGAGGTTTTCCAGCAACCGGTTTTTCTTTTTGTTCTAGAAAAAGACTGGCTTCCTTCTAGAAACAAGAAAAGCATAGGCGCGCGTATGTCTGCTATAACAAGCAGCCCATCAAATCTTAACCGGATTTAGACAAGAAGTCCTGTATATACAGGATGTCCCAAAAGACACTTTTTATTGGCCCATAATTCTTCGATGGTCCTCTGTTGTCAAAGAGTAATAAATTAGAAAAAATAAATGTACCCAGATTTACTTTTAAAGTACGATTAAAAATATGAGAAATGTAACATAAAGGGTTTGGGAAGTACCACCCAGGGGGCTTACAATTAATCAGATAAAGAGTAAGTTTGAAACGGAAGGAACTTCAGGAAAACTGAAGGATGTTTCACATTCTGGAAGACGTTGATAAGATTCACTAGTAATGAAAAGGAAAATTGTTACGGAACGCCCAAAACTCTATAAGGTGTAAGCTTTACCAAAAATTGTCAAACCAAGTGGATTTTTAAATGTTGTAAATGGAAAAAATACATTCGGATAATGATACCTGCTACTGATGAAGATAGCCTGAACTAAGATTTCGGAGATATATGTAGGTTCACTTTTTGGGGGAGCTGCAGTTAAATTAAAAGGCACAGCTAACGAACATAATTGCACTAACTGGACAGCTTAGGTTCTCTATGTTACCCAGAAACATCACGTAAATTCATCAGGAGTTAAAATAGGAAAATGAATAATTAAACCAGTTTTCTTTGACAGTACAGCGTCAGCTGATAATTACTGTGATTTACTGTCAAAAAGCTGCAAAAAACTGAAGTTTTTTATTTTTATATATAGACCCTGTATACGTATTTTGTGACACCCCGTGTATCTGTCGCGTGCCGCCAGCTTAAAAGTACGCAAAGACCTACGGAGAATTTGTCGCCATAGTGTGTCACTAATACAACCAGATTCCAGCAGTTATGTAGGCACTATTTGATTTCATTACTTGAATATATGCAGCAGTCTATGCTGACAGCGAAACTTCGACCCGCCAGTGGAATCTAGTGGCCCATTAACCGAAGGCAGTTGCACGTCCAGGTTACCGTATTGATTTTAACTACTATTTGTCTATATATATATGGTGTCGTAATTTTATAGATATATTTAATTACGTCTATTTATTTTAAAGGCCCTCGTGTTGGACACAGCCTGTATATGAATCATATGAATAGAGATCAAGTATAAAAACAACAACTTTTGCACTCCTCTCACCCGATTGACTTGTGGCAGGCCGATACGTGCGCTAATACCACACGCACACATACGTATACCTTTTACTTACTAACGGAAAACAGTCTTAATAATAATCTTATCATAGGCTTTTATTTATTTCCTTATAATTGGTACCTGCTGGAACAACTTATAGATAAGATGAAACATTATTACATATCTACAAACTTTTTTAGAACAAAAATGTGAGTATGTTATATCGTTAAACGGTACGGTAATTTTACAAAAATAGTAATGGAAACCCTGTCATACGTGATGCGAATTTCTCTTCACTAACAAACTATATCGTTGAGAAGAAACTTGAAGTTCTCTAGCATCAGTAAGGTGCCGTTAGAGCAAAACTGCACCTGAACATTTGTAGTTACCCTTTACCTAACTCATTTTAATAAACCTGTAGTTCAGACTCCAGAATATTGATCTGTATGTACGAAGACTAAAACTGCATTTTTGCTCTAAGATTTTCACTATAAGTTGTACAAAATAAAATGTCATGCTGTGCATAAATACTCTACTGAAAAGTTAATTGTTCTTTTGACTAATGAATCAAATTAGTTATCACGTGCCTGATTGCGGTGCAGACGAGCAAAAGGATTTATTATCCACGGTCCCCTTAAAACGGGCTTGTAGCTTTAGTGATCTACTTAAGTATATTGTTGACATGAAGTGTCATAAAATTGGCGCTATAAAAACATCTATGTTAGGTAATATGAACCCTTATTCTGAAATTTACCGAGGTTACACGAGGGCTAGAAGGATGGGCCTGTTAGTTCCCTGTTCATTCCCTCATACGCGATATTCAATTCCGTGCTGTTAACTTATGTTTTTTGTGTTAGTAACTCTCTCCGATATATTTAAATACGGGAATAAACTTGGGTCTTGGAAATAGCTTAAGTATCTTCAAGGTCATTTTTCTTTGTCGATTGATATGTTAAAAGTAATTAATTGTGGAAAAATAAATTGTGATTAAAAATTGTTACGCTTGAAGGCGTTCGATATTGAGATGCTTGTTTCATGTGTAGACGTGAGGATCCAAACGAAGTTTCTATGTACAACGACCTTTTATTACCTAGAGAGAACAACGGTCGGCTTAGACCTTGAGCCTTACATCCGCAGTCGTATTTGATTTGCATTGGCGTGATGATACCGACCTTCGCTGTTGCGAATGTGTACGCCAGAACACTTGACAATAGTCTTTACCCCACTAGAATTGTTTCGCCAAAGTGATATACAGTTATTTAGAGTTAGTTTTACTAGGCTCTATGGCGTCAGATAATTGTTTGATGATTTGCTATTGCTCGCCCTCGCAAATCATCTTACTTCAGGATATTTGCTCACTTTTAACATCGCTTGATCGCTGACTGCTTTGCTTCGTAAAGGTAACACTGCATCGATCACCGGTCGATTCAAGCCTGGCCTTTTACGTGACGGCCGAGAGGATTAATGTCTTGTTGAGCTTAGAAATCACTGTTACTAGATTGGTAAATGCCGGTGGAAAATGTTTCACGATAGACACTTACCTATGCAGCAATACATGACACAATACCGCCGGCTGAGCAGAATGACTAATCCCTGTTTAAATGATTAAGATACGTGTACAATAGTTTGGAGGAGAACGACTCCGTAAGTGAGCTTTGCGCTTGACTAGTTAATGCGTTTACAGCCATTGTTTCTATAACTCAGTATTCATTTTATGTTTAGGATGCGTTTTTCTATTGACTCTGCTCAGTGTGTGTGTAGCTGTTACAACAAAACCGGCCTGTAATCTGTCAGAATTATTTCTTAAGGACTATAGATATTAAAACTGTCCCGTAGGCTTTTAATTTCGTTGAAAAATATTCAGTAGCCACGTAGAGAAACTGAAAGAAAAACACATGACACTCAGAGCATTTGTCGTTGGTTAGACAGTACGTAACTAACTTTCAATGAAGTTGGAACAAATAGAAGTTGAAATAATTTGATTATCAATCGGTATCATTATTTATCTCAAATATAAACTAAATAGTGAACTATATAACCACACCGCCTCTTAAATTAAATTAGCTAGGTCAGGTCGAATGTATTCAAATGAATCACTGTAGGTACTTGAACATCAGCAATAGATCCTTCAGGTTTTCTATCTTCATCAAATTGCCCTACAAAACGTTTCTGGCTTTGTGAAATGCTTTATATATATATATATATATATATATATATATATATATATATATGTTTTTTTCGTTAATGATATGGAAATCAATGCATGACAATCACTGACATACTGAAAACAAGCTACAGGTGGCCAATATGGTCCATCTTCATAATTTAATTTTAAATAATTAAGTACCGGGGCGTGGACAACCCATGCCAAAGCAATGTACTTAACGAAACATATATTATCTTAGAAATTTTTGCTCAGATAGGATCGGTCTGCATCGAAGCAAACTCAGTCCTGAGATTACCAACAAGATCAACTAGCAAGAAAGGCATTCGTATTAATTCTAGACCAGGCACAACCCAGGAGCCTTTATTTGTTCAAGTTTTCTCTGTCATACCTTATTCTATATATAACTGAAATCGCTAAAAAGCCTATGATCTTATAACTTCTCGGTTGCGCTATTCGCCGCTTGGCGAATGGAACTGCGTTCCATTGTACTGTTTATTAAACTAGTTATATTCTACTATGCTTCTTTATAATAGATAACTTGATAATAGAAAAGCGCCTAATTATATGTGGAGTGCGTGATATATCATATAGGGTAGCAGACTGAGCATCCCATTTATTGCTCTGTGGCCACAGAAACAACTTAACTGTGTCACACATTTAATTGAAGAATAAGTTACACGTATAGTCTGTTATACTATCGTATTAATCATCAATAACATTCAAATATAATACATTATCAGTAGAAGTTGTCAGAGGATGTCAGAGAAATGTATATATTTTGAGTTGCCGAACAAATATTCACCACTTTAAACATTTTCTATGCTGTCAAACATGCGCCATTTCAATCAGTGACCTTCTAGCTTGTTTTCTAGTGACACTATAATCTTATCAATACTAAATAGTGACAAGTGATCTTTGGATCTCTCCATTGAATATAAATAAACACCACTAAGAAAGGTCTATGGAAATCGAAACAGATCATAATCGGATGGTATAAGATGCGGGCTATCCGGCGGATACATCAAACTTTCCCATCCAAGTCCTCTCAATTTTTGCGAGGTAACCAAGGATGTATGTGGTCTGAAATTGACATGGTGGACGATAACGCTCTTTCTGCTCACCACTTCTGGCGTATATTCATATTATAGCGTAATATTTGCGTATTAGATGTCAGAATTAATCGTAATTTGTAATGCACGATTCCTTTCCAATCCCATCAAGCATTTAACAGCATTTTCTTTGACGCATTTTTAAACATATTCTTCTTATTTGCGCGTTATTATTCTATGTAATCCACTTTTCATCAACTTTAAAAATAACTCGATCTTGTTGCGTTTTTACAGAATTTCGAAATACGATCGATTAAGTTTTTACGCCAATTCGTGGTACATCCAAATGTCGAAATTTTTTGTAATCACTTCCATTGAAATGGTTTAAAACTGTTTGATGGTCGATGTTTAGCCCTTTGGCGATATCATGGCTTCTCACGTATCGATCTCGCTCAACTTTAATGATTTCGTCAACTTTTTCCGTAATTTGTCTGTGAAGAGCATCCTATACATCGAAGTCTCCAAGCATGAAAACGACAGCGCCATCTTTGGGCCGCTTCTTCCGATAACGTATATTGACCATAAACAATACACTTTTTTTTTCCAGATTTTAGGCAACAATTGCGCCCTTATCATAGTAAAATTGTAAAACATAACGAATTTGCGCAGAAATTTCTCTTGTATTCAAGGCGCTCCGTCTTAAATCTTAGCGAAGACGTTCCAACAATTTTTAGCAAATTTATTGCCAAATCTTGGCTTTCAGATAACGCCAATGCCGACTCGACGCGACTCATATGACCTGAGATACATGAATTTAAAGCCATTGGGGTTTGTCAGACTACCATTGCGCGATTAATATGAACGTTAAAGCTAAAATAGTCAGCCTAACTATTGACTACGTATAAAAGACTAAAGAAATCGGAACTTCTAAAAACACCTACGACGCCGCATGGTTAGGTCACCTGCGGTGATATTCTTATATTTGTTATGTGTGTATAACGACTGAAAAGATTGCACGAACTAAACAGTGAACAACCCATTTGAGTTTGATGAGTCACAATGTACGAGTAAACAAGTAATGTGTTTCACTTCTGCACGCGAGAAAAATATGGCATGAAAAAAGATTACTCACTTGGACCCATTCTGGCGGTTCCAAACGGGACATCCTTAGAGGCACAACAAAATGATGACAAATAGCACACTTTGACAAACAGTAAAACAACTATAGTTATACGATTTTGTGATCATCGATAAAATCCAAAATAAAGTACAATTAGTGTCACGAAGTAGACAAAAACAGTCATCACACTGCTGTACCCCAATTACAGACGGCCACCACACAGGATAAAAGTTATGTTGATCACAGGCACTGGTTGCAATTTCCTCTGTCATAAAAATATGTCCATTGTCAACTTCCTGGATAGGCCATATGCATTAAACTTTTGAGATTCGCACTTTTTCTGTACTTTATATTTTGTTCTTGCTAATTGCCTGTATCAGTTAGTCAGTCAGTCAGTCACGCGCTTATTAGGTAAAAGTCAAACTTACGATCAACCAGTAAGTTCACTTTCCAGCTTAAGGCATTCCTTGAGTAAATCTATATACAACGCATATGACATTGATTTTCGACGATTAGTACGTTGAAGACCAGACTGAAAATCTTGGAAGTTATCAACGTCAGATCGTTGCACTGGAGTACATTTTGTATCGAACACTTCTGAAGGCAGCCGTTGCACTGATTGTCTCCACCTAGATTGAGTCAATGTTATTATCGATGATTAACTCACGAGAAAGTAAAGTTTTAAATGCGCACGAAAAGCAATTAGAACAATAGGGTATTATGTTAATGGCATACTATATAAACACATCTGCAAGCCATCGAATGTAATCAATTATTCAGTTTATGTAGCAGGCTCACTCATGAAGCTCGTAACGAATGTCAGGGTAGCGTGCGCTAAGAACATCGATTATGATCAAGAGTTGGCTCGCTGCGAGAGAGGATTAACTACGGAAATGGTAAAAGCAATCCATCCCTGTTTCTAGCCAGATGTGACAGCAGCTGGCAACTCATCAACTGGTCGAAGGAACGTCCGGGTTCTTACACTTTCCCCTTCTCAAAAAAATTTCCCCCTCACTCATGAGTGATACTGAAGCCAGCAGGCAGAACTCGTATGTTACACAACAGAAAACATGACTTCCGACTAGACTGAATGCAAACGCGCAGTTCACATACCGTCGTCGATACACGCCAAAGGTCCCATACCAACGAATCACAGCACTGCCACAAACAGCATAAAGTCTGCGCTACAAAACGCAGGAGCACTGGGAGCGATAAGCCACACGCACTGACAGTAATGCGTTCAGTGCTGCCATCTAAAGGGAAAAATTGGCGAACTGAGCGAAGGGCATGAGAAAACACTCTTCAAGTAGATGATGGCAATAATTTCCCATAATGAAGCACTTGTCCCAAACTTGAATACCCGATCCTTTTTAATGACAAGCAATCTGCGTCAGATAGTTAGATTTCAGTCGGCGAATTTTTTCTCCTTCTGGCACGATCACTACTCTCCAGTTTAGGCAAATTTTAGCTTAGGACAGCTGTTTAAGAAAAGTTCAAAGAAGAAGAAGAAGAAGTACAAAGAAGTGTTCAATATGTAGTGATGTGTATTGTGTATCTTTCAAAACTCTACTGCTGTCACCAAAACTGACATGGTGCTTTAGCTAGAAGAACTTAAGCAGTCATAATTATACTTTCTAACGAGAGAAACTTATATGACTAAGTATATCTTTCACTGTTTAAAACTCAAGTAGCGCTATTCGAAAATACCCCGTCGAACTAACGTAATACAGAAATGGCCATGTGTTTAAATATTGACGTCTATTGAGTTTATTTATTATGTAATATATACAATGTACAATTTATGTACAAATGAGAGTAACAACACTTTGTAAAATACGAACAAGAAGACAAAAATTAAACTAAAGAATTGATACGACCGCTGACCTATAACAACTAAATGATAGGTTATATAGTTTCCGTGTTTCAATAGTGCCTTGGTAAATGCTCACCTTATTTAATGTTAATTTGCTTGCAAGTAAATTTGTTAAAGTTTATATCAGCGTCTCAGTACATATCTTCTTACCTATAAAAACAACACCTATATGAGCCTGCGGTCTGAAATAGGTATAAGGACTAGACAAACGAAATTCCCTTAATCTATAGATAACTGTAAAATTATCATATCGTATTAAAATATCGTAACATTACACACTCTAGTCTTTAGCAAGAACCTTCCTCTAGCACTTCTTGGCTTTTTCTAAACCAAGAATATCTAACGAATACAAGAATAAAGCAATGGTGGGTGAGTGGGAGTCGCGCGGCATCCAACCAACAATACTGATTTAGTGTAGCATATACTTAACACAGGACGCGAACTAAAAATTGCTGGTTCAAGTCTTGCCATCTGCATACATCACATTACAACGTGTGATAAATTCATTTTTAAATGTCTATCTTCGACATGCTTTCTAATGGCAAATATAAACTTAACGATCCGCGGAAGCTGCATGGCCCTTTGAAAGAATTCTGTTGTCAGCGGCATATCCTTTACGCGAGAATTCGATACAACAAATTCTTATTGAACGCTTTTTATCATAGAATAAAAAGCCAAAAGTACACAAACTGTCTTACGGTTTATTAGCAAAAACTTTACTAAAAACGATTAATTTTTGTTGTGATCTTAAAAACGATATCTGTTGGCCTAACTTCGCAACCTCAGCGACATCTGAGAAAATAATTTACCCCAATACGTCACCAATGCAAACGAGTTCTGTTAGGTGCATTATCTAAACGTTCTGTTTTCATTCGATGCCGATAACTCATCTCGTACTACTTCATTACTCGGATAGCTGTTGCCTTATAGTTTTTATATTGCAGTACTATAGAAAGTTTTACGCAAAAAGTTCACTTTTTATATCGTTTTCGTAAGTGATTTATGGTTATGGTGCGTGATATTATATCCATTAGGATCACTGTCAAATTTTTCTTAGAGACTTTAATTGTATCACCCATTTCATTGAATTCTTTCCGCATTTATTTAACACAACTACATACATCCTAGTGAATATTTGAAACACTCATCATTAAACTACTCATTATTACACACTATATCATGTTTACCCAAAAATATCGACTATTATGAATACCAGCAGATGATAGCGTTGTGTCTCACCTCTTCTTTCAACGTCTGGAATAGATATACAATATCTAGAGTACATCGATTTCTGATGATGAATTTTCTTACAACAGATAGTTATGTTTTTACAAAGAAAAACCTAACCGTGTGTTAAGGAATCGACTTTTCTCCTATTATGCCTCGATGTGTCTTATGTTTAGATAGATGCTTTGCAACATCGTTCAAAGCTTTAACGACTGAGCTATGCACAAATATATTGGATGAAATGTTTCGACACAATAAATTACTTATACCCAATGAACTCTTACTGTTGGTCGTATCAGCCGTTCGTACAGATATTGCCTTGTATTATATTTTTGTAATTTATTCTTTTACAAACTTATACCTGTTTGTAGAACTATAGTGTGCAACGTCGCATGCTGTAAAATCGTGTCGGACAAATATCTACTTGCAACAACGGCATGTTGTGTCTAACCGTAGCGGCAGTGACTTTGCAAAATAGGGCAAACGATACAATGCTAATAAATTAATAGATTTTATATTTGAATTTGTTATTATAAAATTATTTGAACGGTAGTTTTCCAAGACAAGTATATTTTGGTGGTATTGAGCTAATGTACGTGCATAAGGGTGCTCAACTAAGCTTAGCTAGCATACTGGTGCTATTCTTGTCAGATGACGGGGTCTGCAATCGACTTGGTGTAGGCTGGAGTCTCGTAAGCATTTCCAATATCGCATCAGCAGATCTGAACCAGTACGAATCGTTGCGAAATGTCAACTCGTTTCGTTTAGACATGGCTGATTCGGGAGAGATAATATGCATATGAAGGTGACCCACCTGTTCGCAAAGTCAAAGAGCAACAACAGGTTATGCGCGTTTCCATTATTCGACCGAATTACTACGATTAGCTCAAAAAATGTTTACAAAGACCGGTTTATGTATCGTTGGATCGAATCGTGAATTTCACAGTGGAGGTTGGTAATCACTTGGAGTTTCCAGTGTCGCTTGTGTGTGAAATAATTTTTGTTAAAAAATGCGATCGAGATCAGGCCAGCGTAAAGATCTGTGAATTACCTCAATGTCGCGGTGTCTACAATATTTATGTCAAAAAAAATCTAGTAATTAAAAAGAATATGTTACCGAAATAAAGGGAGGAAAGTGAAATCCACGACGACATTCGTCCCACTTCCCACCACGTAACTCCAATACCTGAAAATCAATCAAGTTATTGAGAAATAAAAAAAATATATCTAGGCTATTGTTTTTTCGTCTTTAAGCAAGTAAGTAATAACCCATTTACTGAGTCAAAAAGTAGTTATGCGCGTTAACAATCCTCGGAATATTTTTTTAGCTAATTCAGTTTCATTACAACCTAATTTGTACAGATACTTACAGCTGTTCTCTGATATAAAATATGTATACGATTTAATTGAAGGGATGAGACTAACCTGCACGATTAGGTTACGCATTAACAAAATTCATTGGTAATATTTCTAGAAAGGTTATAATTATGGAATACAAAAATATCTCAAGTGATTTCTATAAGTATGGAAGCATGGCAGTTAAATATATTTATATGTTCTATGGGCTTAGGCAATTCTTTAGGGTTTCAATTATTTACTATGTTTATCATTGCACTTCTGTTGTACAAAAAAAAATTGGCAGATAAATTACACTTTTACGATATTTCAGACATCCAAAAATCCGCTTCATCATTTAATGTGCGATGTACCTCACATATTTTTACAACTTACTTATATTGCCCTTCTTCGCTGCATAGTTATAATGAATTCGTAGTATTATGTATAATACTTCTACATGGTTCTCAAACATATGATCTGTTTTACATACATCTATGTAGCAAATCTGATAACCATTAGTTGCCCCAACGTACATTTTTTTGTATCGTTGACACGTCCGGAACGTTAAAATGCTTTTCCTGACGTCCTCTACATGATCTATAAGTTATACATAAGACATAGGATATACTACTTTGATGGCTGGAGACGACGAAATTTATTAGGATCGATCCCATGATGACTTCTTGCTAGTTTTTAAGGACCGTAATGGCCATAAACTTAGCATCGTCGATTCTAGAGAACATAGGTTCTATTCTGTCGAGCCACTTATGTAGCTACATGTAGATATGTTTGTGTTTCGTAATAATTTCATTATTAAAATTTGAGCATCAAAAACAAACGCAATGTACGGTAGGTCTCCTTTGATTTAGATATCACAAACCTTTCTGCCGTGATCAGCCATCTGACGCACCATATCAATATGCCGGTCATCGAGACAACGGACATCCCGTATGTGCTCTTTGGGAATGACGAGATAATGATGCGTTGAAGCCGGTGCTATGTCGGAGATGACAACAAATTGCGAGTCGTGGTAATGTATTTCCGATGTTGGATCGTCCCCTTCAATATATGAATAAATAGAAGCATTTGCTTTAAAGAACAATTCCATGGAGATACGTTTTAATTGTTTCCTTGATACCCAATGTATGAAGTGCAAGCTGCGAATTCTAGTTATTATATTCACTACATAAAGTTCTCCACTTCCGTGCCCGTAGTGTCTTTATTGCTAAACAAGGCGAGGCCCTAATTATTACATTTAATACAACTGAAAAATGTATGTAAATGAAAGTTCCGTTGAAAAAAAACTGCTGTACTACTCCGGCATCACGTCATAATGTATTTTGAAATCTGTTATTATTAATATGGAGAAAGTGACACAGTTAGTTTCGTATAAAAGCAGGTGTTTTTACCTCTGGCAATACGACAGAATACGCATTGGACAGGTATTTCTCCACGGGCACCCCAAGGCACAAGGCTGAGGAGTCTATAGAGCACGCGCATAAGGATTCCACTTATTGACGATGGTACTGTCGATTCATCAGCGTTCGCTTGATCAATCAATTGACCTTCTGTTCCAGGTAAGCCCACCTGTAATTGTATACATACACATACGTAACTTCTACGTAACATCCTCATCTTGAATAAGATGTTTTGTCTGTTTTGTCAATACGTGATGTTACATTTCAAATCATAACATTTGCAAAAATGTCCTAGCTAATATGAGGATTGTTTCCTTTTAAACACCTAAACAATTCTAAGACATACGCACCTGTTAGGTCATAGGGGCAATTGAGCATAGAAGGATCGTAATAAAATACGCGACTAGAAACGTTACGATCTGGCGCTGAATTAATGTTGTGGTGATGTTTTGCCTCCTTACGTTATTTATCGCGTTACTCAAACTGATACAACTTTTCTTAGTGTTTAAACTACATTTAAGAACAGTTGTCGTGTACAGTTCGCTTAAAGAGGTAAATACAATTGGCTCCTTCAAAATACCATAACCTGAGTTAGTCTTGCGTAGGCATTTTTCCCGCACTTCGTCAAGAGGTTCTTAAGGTACAGACACCCTTGCACTAAACTGTTCAATAATATAGAGATCTCCTTAACAATAGGTTTGATGTTCGGACGACCTCAGTGACATGTTTGCCAGAATTGAAAAAAACAGGAGCTGCGACAAGGTTTAGATTTTCCATAGCGTGAGTTGCAGAGACAAATGGAGCTATCTGAAGCGTATACGAAGTTGCATTGATTAAATAGTACACCATGCATGATAGTTATGTTCTATAAAAAGGAAAATTTTCCAACTAAAATATAAATCACCGCAAATTGATTGTTGAAATTCAGCGCTGCTTTTACCATTTCAACAGCCATACACCTTATACTAATTGTCTTGATGCGTTTTTTTTTTGTTCGAAACCTGCAAGCTGCCCTGGTGACGTCTGTGTAGGTCTTTCCGTTTCGTTTTCATAGACCTTTCCTGTTCCAGTTTGACTAGACTTTAAGCATCCCGCTGCCCATACTATTTGGATTCTTTGAGTGAAATTTGTCGGCGGAGTCGAATGAAGGCCTATTCCCAGTTTCACTGTATTTTTCAGATGCCGAACAACTATTAGTGCTACCTTGCAGGATAAATAAAAGAAAAAGACGGTTGCCAGAAGAAGACAATGCGTTCCGGACAAGACATTTTGTGACACGTAATGATAGAACTAGGAGATTATTAAAGAAGACTTAAAACATGGGTTGAAACGATCAGGGACAAAGTCATTCCGAACCATCTAAATCTTGGCTGTAAAGCTTTATTCAAATATATAAACTAGCACTCCTGAGAGACGTCGATACAACGAACACTTAAAGCCCAATCGTACAAATGAATGAGCCGCTCGTTACTATTCCTCATAGCTTACGCGCATGCGACGCTGAAAGCGACGTTGAGTACCCACATAGATGCTATCACAAGCAAACGTAATAGGCAAACAGGTTCGAACTAATGCAGAAACAAAAAATGATAGTCAAGGGTATATATTCACGTAAATAAACGCTGCATACTGTACGGCGCATTTCTTGCTGCACATCAGTCGTTCAGAAGACCATGTCAGCGTATAATACGTGCAAGCTGGTTGTTCGAAACCTAGTTTTCATTGTAGTGTTAAAAAGGTTTCACGTTCTTTTGCCTTTTGCACGTTCGCATAATGATCGCCATAGGGAAGCATGCGGCGCCTTTCTTCTGGTTGTTCGCACGCAACGGAACCGCTACTATGCCACCGTAGTAGCATTAAAACAAGATTTACAGTATTGATATACCTCGCATCTTCGCGAAAATGTTCCAACGTCAATAATCTTCATAGACGTATCTATTTAATGTAACTACGATCGTTTTTGATTGCATTTTCAGTTTGTGGCCATTTTGAAAATTACGTCAATGACGTTATTTTCGAAAATGTATACCCTTAATTTGTTTATGTGACCGATGTTTTCACTCAAAAAAAATAGCCTAAAGATTTGGAATAACAGGAATTCAAAAGGTTAAAAAATGAAAAATGGCCGAATTAATCCAAAAAAGAGACGAACTGTTGGAGCTAACGTAAATGATTAAGTTGGCGATAGGCACATTTTTCTCAAAAGCAGCAGCCTATTTTCGTATCCAAAATCAGCAATGATCGTAAACGGCCCTTCAAGCCATTCCGGTAAATTTGCTAGTTCTTTCAATCTAATTAATACTGTAACTACCGTAAGTAAGTAAGTATGACTTCTTTTGATTTTCAAAAACGAAAAAAAATCCTCAATGTAATCCATCTTTTTTTTGTTTGCTACTTCACAACAGATTAGTCATTCATACATGTGGGGATGATTTACTTAGGTTTATTAAAAGCTTTGTAAGTTCGTTTTTGCAGACAAACTTTGCCGCGGCCCCGTTGAGAAGCAGAGATTTCGAAAAATTAAAATGGTTAACTTCGTTTTTTAAAGCGAAAGGCTCGTACTTATAGCTTTATTGGAAACGACCGGTTCTAATTAAAAAACATTTTTATGACACCAATACAATACGGATAGGTAACTAAAAATATGACACTAACAAATATACAACAGATCTTATGTTAATTAAATACAAAAACGTTTCTACCAGACAGATAAAGTGATGCTCATATTGAGTATCTTGCTCCAGAGCTTTAGTTTTTTGCTGTTCATGCCAAATACGAACGTTTGCCGGTAAAATGCAACCTTTCACCGCACTATGTGCTATAGTCTATAATTACAAATTGGTTTACTCGCAAACAGATTTGGCGAGCCAACTCGCAATATATTCCTCCATATATTCGGGCAATTACCTACAGTATATAACTCTGCATAGCATATAGGTGATCTTTCCAAAATCGTTTTCTTTTTTGTATTTGTGTCTTATGACGTTTCTATAATACATAAAATAAATTTCCCTTTCTTCAAACTTGATTTAGTAGACTACTCTAGATATACTAAACGGTCTTAGAAACCTCTTACCGTTCGTCTTACTGGATGTTAGATAAGTTATATTTTATTTTATTTTATTAATAGGTAAACTGTTCAAAATCTACATATGCAAATTATGCAACTGGATTTATTCGTTGTTCAATATATTTATTTGAATAAAGCATTAATTTCAGAATATCTATAATGGCTTATAAATAAAATAGCGCCTAGGTAGATATCTTGTTTCTATGACTTTTCTTTAATCAATACACCCCCTACATTTGTCAAAAAAGTAGAAATGATCAACACCCCGTAAGATCACTCCCACAACTGATATTACACAGGACATTTTCGTGGGTCATTTTTGGACCGCCTTACAGATGATTCGCAGCACGTCATTGGTATAGCCTAAACAATATTGATGGAATACAGTGATGTGCTTAAATTGCAATGATGTACGATACTCATATTTCAAATTTTAATGTACTGACCTGTTCGCTCATGATTAATACAACTCGTTCCACCTCACTTCCAGTACTTATTGGGTTCAATTTCGGTATATATTGCTGTTATTCAGTAATATATACCAAATCAATATAAACACTTATATTGACGTTTAAGCGTTACCCTTAAACATTAGCACATTTCGACCATCAATAGATAGGCAATGCGGCTCCCGCGAAAACAGCCACGGACAGTCAAGGAGAAGAATCGAGGGTTGATTTCGCTGTTTTCCAGTTATGTCCGCTGATTAGTGCGCTCTTTCCGTTGATTAGTGCACTCACCGGGACCGAGAAAAAATCCGCTAAAATAAGTTACAACTAACCGAGTTTAGCGTCACAGTGCATTATCGCGAAAAGCTGCTCTCGGAAAGCTTCATCTTTTTGAACTAGGCGGCACCATTTAACTCCTTAAAGACCAATCAGTGTCGAATACAGACCACCTGGGGAAGATATCTGTCGCTTGCAGGAATTTCAGCTGTTCTCTAGCAATGAACTCTTTGCAAAACGTGATATTTCCTTTTAGCGTTATGAAATTTAATTCTAAAAATTATAGTTATAAGAAATTATTATATTATTATTACAACAAAAAATTGGTTGTGAATGATTATCACTTGACAACTATAAAAAAAATGCGTTAATGAGGATAGCAACGGTGGACTGCCACGCTACCAAAAGTGCCAACATTCTCGAAAGCGGGTGTCAGACAACATCCGAGCATCCTAACTAACCGAACCTAACACTACCTAATCTACAGATAGATGGTATACCTTGTAACCTTCGGTCGAAATTTGCAAAGCTTTATAATAGATTATTGGAACTATAGGATATACCCGGTCTGGGTCTGTCATCGGAGGTCAATAAAGACAGCTTGAAGATACCTTTCAATGAAGACGACTAGCCGACACTTGTGAAATAGCCGAAAAGAAACTTAATAATCTTGTAAATTCTGTCAGGCATTGTGAACATTACGGAAATATGGCGTTCACCTTACTCTTTTTCTCTTTTAGTATCGGAACTTTATAGCCGCACTGACAGGATTATCTACATATTGCCACACGTAGTTTATTTGCGTTAGAAAACCTTCAGTAGAGATTTAGGACCTTGGTGTGGAAACGACGGCTGACTTAGATTTTGCCCACGAGTAGTCAAACCCAGATTTTTAACATGGAACACATTCTAGTATTTACATCCGAAAAGATAGATTCAAGAGAAGCTTTGTTGTTCCCATATTTGCGCGCCGTTGCGAAGTAGGAGATGGGGTTAAAATAATTTTCTGCTAAAATCTTGCTAAGTTAATGTACCAGCATTTGTCTTCGACGAATACTATATATGTATGTATATATATATATATACATTACACATTTCTGATATTTAGGTTGAAATATATAATAATAATTATAATCCTAATACAATAGAGTGAATCATACAAGCTATTATTTAAGAGAATATCAATAACTGCTGGCTGTCGGTTAAGTTCTTTTTTTGGTAGAGGTATTACACATTAATAATATGAGTATTGCCTCTACGAAAAGAGAGAACTTTCGCAGTAAGCGGAATTACCTAAACTGATCAACAACAATTCAAAACTGATCAGATAGAAATATTTCCAACGCTTCGTGGTATTATAGTATTAAGGTAAAGCAGGAGCAGGCCCTTTACAATCTCCGCTGAAGCGTTTGTACAGGCACAGCTACACATGCGAAATTGTTTACAGTGCACAGCACATTTGCGTTTGAAGCAGGCTTCACCGTACTAGCCACGACACGCAGCGCCATTCTAGTGGAAGCGTACACTGCACGAAGAACCACCCAAACGTTCGTCCGCAGCAGACCTTGCATGCGTGTTTACTGCTACATGGACAACTTTTGTAACTGAAAACCGCGCAAAAGTTTACGTCTCATTTTGTCCCAAAGTTTCTGCGCGATGTTTACTACTGTCCGCTTTGCGGGTTTTGTGGAGTTGTATTTTGCAGCTGAAACAGAGCCTTTGTTTGCGTTCTCGAAATCTCTGCTTACAGGTCGACAAGAGGTCTAACGACAGTACCAGACGTAAAACTCTATTAATTTAAGGTCCACAAAGTATTACGGCTAATTTCTTCGATAATTTTTCCATTGCACTATAATTCACACCTGCGACTTAAGGCATCGCTTTACGAACGCCGATGTCGAAGATACTCTTTAATAGACTTCCTAAGACCATGAAGTTCCAAAAAGACGACGAAAAACAGTTAACAGATGATGCAGTTGACACGCGACTTCTCATTGCCTTGCAACATCTTATCCAGCACCGGTTAATACGCACTCATTAATCAGATTCCTATGCAGAATTGTTACGGCTCGCGTCTCTTGAATCAATGTGAAACAGCTAGAACAATACATAGCTCCCGGAAATGAGCTTATGTTCAGGTTCAAGTCAGATCCTAATCCAAAAAAAATTCCGACCTGCTTCTGTGTGAAGCGGTCAAATACTAGAAGATGAGTAAGAAAGGCAAAGCGAGCTACTGCGAGAAAGTGATATGGTAAACAAACCAAAATTATATCTTCCCATAAGATCAAGCACGGCAAAAGTTTACCCCAAAAACTTTTTTGTTTGCATAAATTGTATCGTTCATATCGCGCAACCAAATGAACACCTTTCAATAAATAGCAAGTAACATTAATAACCGAAAGCTTAACGGAGACGTTTTTTAAATATTAGCTAAATGGGTTCAAATCTCAGTAGATGGAAGACATGAAGAACGATCACCTTAGTGCATCGTAAATTGACTCTAGTTTTAGGATTTGAATGATATTAAATTTTCGTTAAAATGCACAATTATTTTTTAACTAATCTAATTGGTAATAAGGAACAGATAAAAAATGCGTACATTTGGCCATCGCTGAAAATTAGGGAGAATGAACTAAATGAAATTTAAGATGGAAATGGAAAGCTTTATCGGTAAGGCAATAGTTTTTGACAGGGACGGTTAATCTTTCCAGACAAAAAGCCATAAATCTTGATCTGCTCATTAGTAAAACGCATAAATATGCTTAAATGGTAATTTTTTATAACGTAACTGTCTTACGGCATGCAGTTTGAATTTCAAATGAATCAAATGCTTTAAGCTTTTTTTTATTTTCGTCAACAAAATGAAAACATTAAAATGGGTTAAAAAGAACGCATATAAATAGAAATAATAATATAAGCATATACACTCTGATATAAGTGATTAAATTTTCAGCGATTAACTTCGCTATCTAACAGCTCTTCATAACAATCCTCGGTTTTGGGTCTTTTAGAAATTTTCTGCTGCACTTACCAAAACAATCTACATATACCTTAGTTATTCGGAGCCACTTCATTATCTATCTAAGGTGATCCCTTCAATACAATCGAGCAAAATCGTATCGAATTATACATATTTAAGCAGACATTATTGTTACTCGATTGTTCAATTTCGTCTAATCAGTCCACCTCAGAGGGCTGAGCTGTGCAGCAGTGATTAAGGTGCAGGAACTAGCCGCTGCCTACTCATAGTAAGGTAAATGTACTATATATATTAGTTTCAAATGTAACACTGAGTAATTTCGCAGACATTTTAGTTGTACCTATACAGCCTCGAACCCTGGACACCTAACTGCGAGTGTTTTTAGTGCTTAGTGGTTCGCGTCGGTTGATTTATCATTCAGTGATTTATTTTGTACATTTATAGCACTGTAGATTTTTTGTCTTACATCTTCTCTTACATACGGTTCATCTAGTTTCGGTAAGTAAGCAGGCGTCAGTAGATTATAGTATTAAAGAATGAGCTTGATCATCAGAGTCACGCCGCAAATATACCTAAGAATGGAACGTAGATATTTATTCAACAAATCGTATTAATGTTTCCGGGCAAAACTCAGCTAAATAAAACTTAAATCTATTTCGTTCGTATTATAGGGATGCGATTTTCAATTATATTCTTGGCGGCCTTGCTGATTTCCGAAACCCAAGAAGCTTATGAATATGTAAGTACGTATCATTTTGCTTTTTGTCATTTGTTGATAAGGCAAGTGTAGTCTTGAAGCTAGAAAGTATATTCTGTAAATAGACCGTGTAATTTAAACATAACTGTGAATCTGAAGCAAAAATAGGTCTTAAATGGGAGAAAACATCGCCTTGATGCGGCTAATCAGAAGATCTGTATCTGTTTAACGTTAATGGCTTGCTATAGTCGCACATCCATCGCGCAATAATAGCAAGGAGTAGTCCTTTTCTGTTCACTGCTGAGCGTGTTAAGCATGGTTAACATGCTCCGATTGCACACCGTCTGTTCTCCCTAGTCACCGTCCATCAAGTCAAAAATAATTTTAAACGCCAGGTAGACTACAGTTTCAACTGGAAGCGATTTGCGGTTATTTTATTTGTGCCTATGGTTTACATCAGGCCGCTGTCTGTTGCAAATATATCCAAAAACAATTAACGGAATTTAGATTGTTTAATGCCATTTTTGCTCGTAAAGCTGATTCCTAAAAATTTTAGCGGTCCACAGCAACCCGGTGTAAACCTTAGATTACGCCCTAACCTGTTTGTTGGATGTGCTAAGGATAGAGCTACTGACGTTTGCGTCACCCCTGTGACAGGCGGCGGTAGAAACTAAATATGCGCTTCAAGAAAAGCTCCATATATGTGGACATTGGATCAGATGGGCAACATGAGCAACGCAAGTACATGCGTCCGTTATTATAAATACATCCAATATTATAGATTCTGACAAATGGCTTCTTCAACTTCTGAGAACTCGAACCTCCATACGGTGCCAACAATGCGTCTGTTTCAACTGTTCTGAGTAATTGCTTTTTATTAGGCCGCTGAATATTGACGAGTGACGAAAATTTAATCTTTATGAAAATTGGAGATTATGTGAGATGTCCTATTATTGAAACAAGATTATCAGCCTAGTGCTCGTTTCGGTGCGTTATTGGTCTGCCTCGCACCATAGTTTTCACCGCCGGCGAACCTGGCCGATAGGGCTTGTGTGCCTGAAAATGTGCCTGGAAGTGACTTCTACAAAGAGTATGGAAAAATATCATATATTCCACCGAGATGTATGCCTTTTTTCCATTCGTTACTATTCGACCTGTTTCCCAGGAGCATGAGATGTGACGTTCTTGTGATGTACATAGCGAAACGACAGCGCCATTCATAAATTTGTCCTGGCCTGCCCAGTCCACCTTTTGTTCGTGACAACTTTGATTGACTCGTTGCTTAATTGACCCAACCGGTCATCGATAATTTTTGTCCGCCTGCCTGCATTACACAGATGGCGATTACGTTTCGTTTATTCGTGAAGTAACCTACGAATATCTGTTGATCGATCTGAAGTTTTACGACAGTTAGTGAACAACTATTCAATCTTGATCGCATACGTTTTTAACTGCATTAATTTTGGTTAGTGATCTTATATATTCTCTGAATTACCTTTGTGTTTCATCGTTCAAGGATGTTTTGATGACGCTACTGACTACTTGAGTGCTGCACTTAAGGAAGTTCTCTCAGGCGAATTAGAACAAATGGCGGACCACTACATTTCCATTATAAAAGGAAATGAAGAGTAAGTATCATCCTGTGAAGCAAAACTTTTCTCTCTTAAAGTTAAATTTTCTTGCATACATTATATTCATGGAAAAATGCACATCCGGAACCCTTCTATTAACCAAAATTCACTGGGAACGTTTGTTTTCGTTAGCCTATTCTTAGAACCGTACAGTTCCGTTTCTATTATATATATATAATATATGATTCTCATATCGTTTTAGATCGAAGAAGTTCGAAAATGATAAGCTTAGCCTTTACAGTGGCATTATAGTACCGCGGCTCAAATACAGGGCGTGCAAAAAATATTCACGATTTAATCTGTGATATCATGTCAAGGACCCTGCTAATAGAATTTTATTATAAATATAAAAATGATGAATGTGGGTCAGTACTAAATATATTAAAGGATCCGGAAGTAATCCTCAGAGTTATGCCTTTTTGCCTAAGAAGTCTTCGACTAAGTGTATTTAAAAAAAAGAAATTCTAAAATTCGAGGCTGTTTTACACTTTCTTTGTAACGTAAAGTAAAATCCGATATAGAAGGGTAGAGAAACTCGTCTTCACTGGTAAATTGGCCGCCTCCATGGAAAATCTCACGCTTGGGTATAACCAATGGATGATGCAAATTGTTTTTTTTCGTTCGGCCTTTGAAGTGAAGTCGTAGAACAGACCTTTAAATCGTAAGGATATCGTTTCAAGGCCTAGAAATTAACATTTTTAACCTGTGAGAGTTAGTGCATGAATATTCTGATCGGAAAATAGAAGCGTGTCCAGTTGTCCCTTTTGTACTAATCTCCGCCGGGATTTAATAATTGAGTAACACGGTTTACTTGTTTTGATCCTAAGAGACAGAGGTGATTCTTTAGGCCACCGTTACAAATGTTGTTTTTCACAGAAATCGTAGTTAGTCACATAGAGGTACCATATTGCAGGACGCTAAGGACATTTATTTTGGGATCTCCTTATTTTTTCTTATATTGTTATTGCGCGTGCAACCCATTCAAATTTGTTTCGCTTGAAATAGTTACGATGTCGGTCTTGAGAATAAATGATCATGTACCTCAAATAGAATCCCTTTAGCAATTACTGACCGATCGTCAAAAGCGATTTCTAGTCGTTTAGGTGAATCCTTGAAGACGACAAAAGGTACATTGCGTGTTTCAGGCTATTCAGTACAAACTGAGAAGATTACTAGCGCTATTGTTTGATCGAAAACAAATACTCAAATGTTCATGTAGCGTATTGTGAGAGAACTCACAAACAGGTAAATAGGCTTTTAGCTACCGTGTTTTAATGCAGTAATAAAAACGGCACAAACTATTCAAGATGTGACGGCTCTGAAAATGTCTATAGCAATAGAAAGAAATTTGCTGTGTTATATAGATTATTTCAATTCCAGAACGTGTACCCTTGATCAATGATAGAGATTCAGTAGTTGCTTGATACATTAAAAGAGCAATTTATAAAAAATACGAAACAAGAAAGTTCTTATTTTTCGCTAAGCTTTTGTTACCACTATTAGTATTTTGTGTGGTAATTTTTTTATATGAACTGGGTGGCACTCTACCAGCCCTTGACATGCTATCTTGCCCAATTAACCCATATTATGTATATTTATGGGTGCAGGTAAGCACATACCTACTATTTGCTTACACTTAGCTGAATAAATAAATTGTTCCGGAAATAGAAATTAATAATGTCAGAATCCATTCTAACAGTAGAATTTCACTGAACCCTCAGCAACAGTTGGTGCAGCCGCAAGGACGAGGATTGCCGAAAAATCGAGTTCAGCCAGATCCGTGAATTTTTAACTGTCTATATTATTCAGAACATCACAAATGCAAACCTGCGTGTGTTCGATATTTATTTGTATGAAGCTGAGACACAGACAAAGCATGAACACTTTTTAGTAACGTGTTTTCAATGTATATATGCCTACGATATTGACGCGTGTGTTGATGAAGTGGTTGGTATAATTGCCGCGAATAGAGGATATCTATGAGCCGCACCGAAACAGCAAGCTAGACAATCCCGTAGCAGAGAACTGGCGGAAGTTACAGCTGAGGGACGACCATATTTATGACGCTGTAGGTATTATTACGTATCGCGCGTATGAAATCAGAAAAACAGCTTAGAAGCTGTTGAATAAATTCAGACTAAATAAATAGTTGTCATTATTTTTTCTATTCTAAGATGATTTGAGTTCAGCGCAAGAAGATAAAAAAAAATTGGCCACGAGAAGCCCTTTTTCTTTCATTGTTCTTTCTCGGCTGGAGAAAATGGAAAGAGGAGAAGCGAAGAGCATTCCTGACGGAATTGTGGCTTCTGTATATATGCATATAACCGAACGATGAAAATCCACATACTGCTACATGTATTGCAGAGACCCTTCTGGTTAATTACTAGTCTCGAACAGAGACTGAAGAAATCTCTGACAAATTACTCGTAAACATAGTACAACCGCCTTTATAGAACGCAAACTTTTCTTTCAAACCATTTCCTACACATAATATCAGTAGAGAAAACGTGGATAGGCGTTTAACCCGGCCAAAGGATCATCACGATGATTATAGTTAGAATATAGATATGCAGACGTCGTCGACTACGCAATGTCTCTGTAGCCTTTGTTTTACTGGAGTGTTTGGAAAGGCGCAGTCGCACATGCCAAACTGTTTCTAATACGCGCTAAACTTGACTTTGAAATAAATCCCTCCGTCCTGATCCTGATGAGTGCCATCAACCGCATATGGCAGGTACGAACTTTGAGATCTACCGTTCAATAGGTCTCGCATGTGTCCTTTCATTCACATTGATAGCCCTTACAATAAGCGAGTTTCGCATAAGTCTCAATATATTCGCGCCTTGCACCGCCCGCAATTCCGACACAATGCGCGATCCCTCGACAGTTTCGGGAGATTGCACTTTGTAACTACACCGAACATGCTGCCACGTCTTGTTTATTTTCGCATAACCATTAAATCACATTTATCAATGAAATTTAGAAGTGATAAGAACCCTGATAAGTGATACCGCGGTAATTCGGTGACGACGCTTTGCATGTAACCTATAAGTTGGCTTATCACTGGTAAAGAATTTGAAGTTATTCCAAGAATCATAATGCATGGACGCCCTAAATTTAAGATTACGAAACTTGAAGTTAAGCCGTTCATGCTCATGGAACTCAACGGACGCTTTAAAGCGACTACTATGCTAAAAGCTCTGAATTTTCTGAATGACTCAGCAAAAATGTGATCTGCCTGTTCGACGTATTGATTGTTTTCAACAATATTGATATTCCATGTCATGCTCATGGTCCTCGCTGTGTAGATTCAATTTCCTCTGACAAATATTTCCAAAAAAACGTCAGGTTTTACTGTTAAGCTGCAGTTACTAATAGGATACTGGATTGGGCACTGCTTAGCAGAAGAGCCGACCAGGTCACGATTGGAGCTGGAGACGTGCTAAAGTGACTAGAACAAAAAGAAGTAAGTGCTTGCTTTTTTCACTGCTACTTCTTTTTATACTTTACATTTCTTAATAACCGTCGTCAATACAAACGTTTCATTTAAACATTCCCACCTGTTACATTGACACTAGAAAAAAATGAGAATAAATGGGTTGAATGCTGAACACAGGTAAAGTGGACGCTTTGTAACGAAACACAGCGAGATTAAGAAAGGAAACAAAAACCGTTAAGGCTTAAAAGCAGGATGCTGTTTGCGGAGGACCAGCTGGGCCTGATGCTGGCTTCGTCCGGGAACGTATTGCCTGTGATCCCTATATGCTAATAAGAATTGTTAACAGACCTGGTAGAAGAACTTATTGAAGCAGGTGCGGCTGGTCTAATTAAAAGAACATTTGATAAGGGACTATTACTGAAGAGCCGATCTATTCTGGATTCGGCTGTCTGTTTCCAGATCTGTAACCAGTTAAATATTCAGCCATACTTTTCTTGCCATATTATTATATAATACAATATGGTGGCAAAAAAGAACATTTTCAAAGAAGGACCCTAGCGTTAAAGGCTCGTTATGACAAAAGCACTTACGAATATTTAAGAGACAGTACGGGTTTGCATTGTGCCGTGAGAATAATTCCAATATATAACTCTAAGAACGTCAAACTATGTATTTCATTCCTCAAATACAGAGGAAGTAATTGACGTAATTTCTGTCCGAAATCCTTTCAAAAAACTCAAACAAGTTTGAATGCTCGATAATTATGGGAAAAGAGGATACAGAGACCAGTAGAATTCAACGGTTTGAAGAGACATAACCGGATTTTTGCTATCTAGCGGACAAAAATAGTATATCAGGTATGTGTGCGTATATCCAACCAAGGCGAACGCTAGACCAGCTAGATATATGTGAACGATATGTGCCATCTATGGCCACTAATAAAAACCGCTCTATTGCATTTTATTCTATTAAAATCCGGATTGACGTTCTTCTCGTCTTTGACATCCACTTAATCACCTAAGTAGGTCATCAAAAGGATGTAGTATATTATACATCCAGCTAACTGATTGTGCCAGATGTACAATTGGGTAGCTATGGGCGTTGCTTGCCATGTGACCCACGTTTTTGCATGTTCGGCCTGACGCAAAATGCATCGCCATCGCCAACAGTATGGCTCATGTTCGTATTCAAAGTGAGTTCAAGAATTCTAAGCATTATCGAATTAGCTTGCTTTTACACGGCGGTAAATCATAGAGACAAAAACACGCCGCTTTAGTGTAATCCTTAATAGTTCCAAATAATAAATAACTAACAAGATCGAATTCAATGTACTTCCTACTGTTGAAGCGATGCGCGCCTTCCTTGTAAATATTGCCAGCTTGATAACAATGGCAGGTCTCTCACAACTCTTTTACCACAATGTAACACAATTTATTCGCAATTCTAGTGATAATTTACTGAGAAAAATTTGGCCCAATTTTCAGCGTTAGCAAATAGTTACCATACCATTTCATACGTATGTTGACAGAACCTGAACTAAGTCCAGCACAACATACTCCGGCTATACCTTTTTTGACGGCAGCAAGTTCTCGCTATATCGAAAAGGTGATCTCGTTAACTTTTTCATGTCGAGTGATCAGAGAGAGAAAACTTACTTTGTTCCCTAGTTAAATTGCTGCTTCGTGTTAGTAGTTTAGTTGTTACCTTTACAAATGATTAACACTCGCTCAAACTGTCAACTGTTCTGCTCCGAATTAATCCATCGCAGATGATCTGAACCGCGAAATAATTACCACGAAAGTCATCCAGAAGGATATTCACTGCATAATTAAGTCCAGCCGAAACCTGCAAAAGGCAAGTTTACATTGTGGAGTATTAGCCGCGATGTGAACTACTACAATATGCCATGTTTCTTCTATTCGGCTATTCCTGCTAGACTTATCTGGGTCTTCCTCCAACAGATCGATGAAACGGCATAATAACAAAATACCATAGTAACCATTTGTCAATGCTGAAATTTGAACTAGGAATGGTTTCGCGTCCGTGGTGCGCGTCAAAATCAACAAAGTTCGAGAGCGAGCGGAAACACAAATGCATGCTACAGCAAGCCCTGGCATATCCTTGCCTCTGATTGCGGAAGACGGTTATTATATCTTGCTATGTATATTTCGGACGTCTGGAAGCCAGTTTCAACAATATGTTGACGTCGTGTGATATTATTCCTTCAATATAACTAAATGGCAAGTTTGAAGATTTTGGCCCTTCGGAAAACATCCGAAATACAGTTTTGTGGTATAAGAACAGATCAAAGCCATACAGCGGTCCCCTAACAACAGGCCCTTAGACCTGGATAATTTACGAAACGTGCATCTCAAACAGTCTTGTCCAACAAGCAACTAGCACACCACTTGGTTGAATACCGGGAGCATACTAGTGGCATGGAAACAATTTCTTCTATTGATCTTCAATGCTAAAAGATTAGCAACAGAGATATCGTTTTGGCGGGGATTAGACAAAAAGTACATCCGCTCGTGATACGCCTCGATTATAAGGAGGCATTGTAGGATAGCGCGATTTGCGGAAAAGCTTGCTGAACATTCTTGGATGGATGTTCTTAAAAGAGCGTTTCCAGAATGCAGACGATTTGTATTTAGTGTATTCCTTAATTTGCACACTGCATTTAACTCCGGAACATGGATCGACGAATTGGCCTACCATAAAACCCCGATGAAGATTAGTGAGTCATCTAAGGCCGTACTATAATCTGATGGTGTTATATTATATGACCTGTTATCCAAAGGAATGGCTTTTCCCAGGCGTAGTTTCAGTCGATTTTTAGTAACTTTTCTAATCATTGTTTCCTCACAATAAATAACATGCGGACACCCGTCACTAAAAAACATCATGTACGCGGATGCTTTTGTCCTCTGTAAGTGTAGCCGATTTTGCCCGCGAAAAGCGTAATTATTGCCTTTGTTATAATTATGGCCTAGAAATTAACCTACAGAAGACTGAAGCGGTAAAATTTAGTCCTGGCCGTTAATCAGCTGAATCAAACATGCTCCGTTTAAACGACCAGGTCTTGGAGTGCCTAAACAAATTCACCTATTCAAAAATCGTATTATGGCAAAACATAATATCGTCTGGAGGAGATATAATAAAGGAGGAGAGAGCACGCAAAGCTCTTGCGTCTGTCGCATCATCTGCCAGCATAAAAAGACTCCAGTTTGACATATCATTAAGAAGAGCATAGTACAGCGTTCAGTCATACTGAAGATAACTACGTTACGCAGCTCAAATCCCTTAACAAAGTCAAACCTTTTTTCCAAAGAGAATGTTCTGGGTCTTCACCGTCGACGAAAAGCCAAACGATCCACTTGCCTGTAGATACGCCGTGAAAAACATAGTATAGTGACTGACTGTAATCAACTATCTCTCTAATGGCCGTGAACAAAAGTTAGAAAAAGTATTTTATACACTTTGGAGTATTCTTATTGCTAAAATGAGTTTTGTTTTATGCTTATCATCATAATCATTGTAATCACCATATTACTGCTGGAAACGCCACCTACGCTGCCGAAGTTACGTGTTCCTCTAGTAAAACGTTGACTCCCAACGAAATCTGACACATCGATATATTACCGACTTCCTTCGTGAAGCACAGATTCATACACAATCCTATACTTTAC